CTTAGATAGATACCCTTTCTTCCCTCTACTGTTCTTACATGATTATTGTTAGGTCCTCGACGATGTAGAAGCCCTGGAAACAGAGAAACGAGATCAAACTTCTGCACTCTCAACATCTGGAGGCAAAAGTTATAAAGATAATTTTGCAAAGATGTCACAGTCTGTCGAACAAGAAGTTGTGCAGAGGAGAGTTCCACCTCCTGGAGATGGGAAAAAAATATATGACATTGATCCTATGTTGAACAGTCATCGTAGTCATCTTGATTACCGGTAAAGAATATATTCTATTTAGCTTTAGCTGGTTTGGAAAGAGTATACGTCCCTCTTTTTTGTTGGTGGAATTTGTAAATTTTATGCCATCATAATTGTCATCCTTCTCCTGGCTTAAAAACGTGTGTTCTTTTCTGTGTTAAGTTCTAATTACTCAGCATGCCGTTGCAGATATGGGCAGTACAGAAAACTACGTGAAGAAATCGATAAGAATGAAGGTGGTTTGGAGGCATTTTCTCGTGGTTACGAAATATTTGGATTCACTCGAAGGTAAACTATATTAAAAATATATATATTCAACTGCCGTTCAATAGCTTTAACAATTCTAGTTATTGCATTTTCAGCACTATAGTCACGGTAAAGTTTAGTAAGTACTCTACAGATAGTTGGTATTGCAGTTGCTAATTATAATTCACTGCTTTATTAGCGCCACTGGTATCACTTACCGGGAATGGGCACCAGGAGCTAAGGTTTGTTTCATCTCAATACTTTACCAAACAATATGATTTTGTGTTATTTTTGTTTCGTCACAGAGTTTCAAAATTTGCTTGTGTATATCAAATGCAAATTTTTATGCCTGTGAAGAGAACTAAATCTAAATTCGTGGATTAAAACTCATGTATTCCTACATTCAATCTGATTGACCATGTGATGTACACCTACTGCTAACATACCAGCTTATTGTGGTGGTGAATATTTTTTTCCTTTGAGCTGTTAGGTTGATTTCAAAACTGGTCAAGTTAATACAACATAATTGTGAATTGTGAATTATCAGCCTGGGATCATAGTTCAGTAAAAAGGGTCTCATGTCCCCGGCGTTGTGACATTAGTTTTGGCTTTTGTATTCTGTTCTCGCATGTATCTGCTGCACCTGATTGAATATCTAGATTATTGTTTTTCTAACAATTTATTTGACTGAATTATACCTTTCTAGGCAGCATCACTGATTGGAGATTTTAATAACTGGAATGCAAAAGCTGATGTAATGACTCGGGTATGCTGGTACTGTCTTATTTGAGATCTATTTTTTTAATCTTCCATCTCAGCTTATAGTTAGGCTAGTAGTTTAAATTATACTAGAACCTTCACTGATGTTTGTGGGCAGCATGCGTTGCTCTGTTATTATCCTGTTCCTTTCTGGAATTCTGATCTAAGACAGTCTTATCACTGAAATTGAGCAGAACAACTTTGGTGTGTGGGAAATATTTCTGCCAAATAATGCCGATGGCTCGCCAGCAATTCCCCATGGCTCCCGCGTGAAGGTGACATGTTCATAATTTACCCTTTCCGAAAGAACATGCAAAATAGTCAGCTTTGTAACTCTTATCGTAATTTGTATTTGTATACTGCATTGGTAGATTCGCATGGATACCCCATCGGGTATTAAAGACTCCATTCCAGCTTGGATCAAGTATTCTGTCCAGCCATCAGGCGAGATCCCCTACAATGGAGTATATTATGACCCTGCTGAGGAGGTACAACCAGCACTCATTTTACATTCTCACTTGTTTTGGCATTTTTCTAGAGATGATCGAAACTCTTTCAAGCTGTAGATATATTTAGTATTTAAAGTCATAACTGGTTACCAGCAATATCTATGTGTATATGTGGTTTCATATGTCTCCCTCGCTGAAGGCCTAAAGAGTAGTCCACTGTTTCAGGATAAATATGTGTTCAAACATCCTCGTCCTAGGAAACCCACATCACTGCGTATATATGAATCACATGTTGGAATGAGTAGTACGGTATGTTTCTTTCTCTTATCTTGGAATGGTAGTTACTAAGTATCAAAAAATCACTGACAGACGGGAAAGTTTAAAACTACATTTGACATGACAATTCTCATATGTGCTTGACTTTGTCTCTTGTTGAGGATAGTGGAAATTTTGTCTTGGCATTTAAAAGAGAATTTAGGAACTAGTCATTTTGAACTAGATGACTATCAACGTTATTGATGTCTTAATCATATTTGGAGAATGTACAGCTTCAATAATAATGCAAAAAGGAGATCTCGGAACTCTTCTTTTTTGTTCCAGGTTCTTTATGGCAGAAGACTTCACTTTTGACAGTATGACAATTGGTAACATTGTTATCTTTGATCTGCAGGAACCAAAGATAAATACATATGCCAACTTTAGAGATGATGTACTTCCCCGTATAAAAAAATTAGGCTATAATGCGGTTCAGATAATGGCCATTCAAGAGCACTCCTACTATGCCAGCTTTGGGTATGTTTCCTGATATAACTTGTCTACCTACCTATAATCCAATACATTCGTGTTAAAAGGCATTTGTTGATTCGTTGAAGTGATAAATCCTTTTGTCTCCTTGATGAAAGAGCATGTAACTTTGCTACATGTAAATGCAGGTATCATGTGACAAATTTTTTCGCACCCAGCAGCCGTTTTGGAACACCTGATGACCTGAAATCTTTGATAGACAAAGCTCATGAGCTTGGTTTGGTTGTTCTGATGGATATTGTGCACAGGTATTTGCTTCTCTTTTCCAGAATCATCTTACATCAGTTAGATTTATTGTGAATCAGTTGATATAGATTTTGTTGTCTTGAATAAAAAAACCAGCCATGCATCAAAAAACACACTGGATGGCCTGAACATGTTTGATGGCACTGATGGTCAATATTTCCACTCTGGATCGCGGGGTTATCACTGGATGTGGGATTCTCGTCTTTTCAATTACGGAAGCTGGGAAGTATGTTTCTTTCCGTAGAATCAATATTGCAATATTAATGGGATAGCCTTTAGTGTGCCACTATGTTGGTAGTTACGTCTGTATCAGTTATTAACGTTTGATTCCTTGTCTATTTAGGTGCTTAGGTATCTTCTTTCCAACGCGAGATGGTGGCTGGAAGAATACAAGTTTGATGGGTTCAGATTTGATGGTGTGACTTCCATGATGTACACTCATCATGGCTTGCAGGTAGTATTTTCTTTTATGTTGGATTAGTTATGTGCTTTATGTCAATATATGATAGTAACTATCCTAATGTATCACAGTATCCTACAAACATGCGAATGCAAATATATGGCTCTATGGAACCTAACTGCTAGCTTTTGTGACAGGTCGAATTTACTGGGAATTACAATGAGTACTTTGGTTATTCTACTGATGTTGACGCTGTGGTCTATCTAATGCTGGTGAACGATATGATTCATGGGCTATATCCTGAAGCTATTGTTGTCGGCGAAGATGTAAGTCATATGCCCTTTTGTTTAGTAATGCTGAAGTGTCTGTGATACCTCTCTTCAGTTCTCTCGATTGACTTTATACCAGGTTAGCGGGATGCCAGCATTTTGCGTTCCTGTTGAAGACGGTGGTGTGGGTTTTGACTACCGTCTACACATGGCAGTGGCAGATAAATGGATTGAGCTTCTCAAGTATGCAGTCAGGATGTCTTGGCTTTTCAATGAGATTAAAGTGGTCGAGTTCATATCATATTGAACTGATATGGTGTGTTGTAATTTCTCTAGGAAGAGAGACGAGGACTGGCAGGTTGGTGATATAACTTTCACGCTTACCAACAGGAGGTGGGGAGAAAAATGTGTCGTCTATGCGGAGAGTCATGATCAAGCCCTTGTTGGAGACAAAACGATAGCGTTCTGGCTAATGGACAAGGTATCATATTGGTTGTTGCTGTTAAGGCAGCAAACAGATTACTGTCTTTGAACTCTTAAGTCTGATTGTATTCAGATTGTTCAACTAATTCTTTATGTTTATGACTTGTATAGGACATGTATGATTTCATGGCGGTTGATAAAGAGGCCACCCCACGTGTAGACCGTGGGATTGCTTTACACAAAATGATTCGTCTCATTACGATGGGATTGGGTGGAGAAGGATACCTCAATTTTATGGGAAACGAATTTGGACACCCAGAGTGGATCGACTTCCCAAGGACTGACCAGCATCTTCCTGATGGCAGAGTCATCCCTGGGAATAATGGTAGTTATGATAAATGCCGACGTAGGTTTGATCTGGGAGATGCAGAATATCTTAGATACCATGGACTACAAGAGTTTGATCGAGCAATGCATCATCTTGAGGAGACGTATGGTTTCATGACTTCAGAGCACCAGTACATATCTCGCAAGGATGAGGGAGACAGAGTCATTGTATTCGAGAGAGGTAACTTGGTCTTCGTCTTCAACTTTCACTGGACCAACAGTTACTCCGACTACCTTATCGGTTGCTCTGTTCCCGGAAAGTACAGAATCGTTTTGGACTCTGATAAATCTTTATTCGGAGGCTTCAATCGGCTAGATGACTCCAGCGAGTTTTTCACCTCTGTAAGCCCTTTAACTAAACGAGAACGAAAATAGAAACTCTTTTCTCCAAGTCATTACAAAGGAACTGATAATTTGCTAATTTGCTATGCAGGATCGAAGGCATGACGATAGGCCTTGCTCCTTCATGGTGTATGCACCGTGCAGAACCGCTGTAGTTTATGCTGCAGTAGAGGATGATGAACGTTCTTCTCTTGTCCCCATAAGCCTGTTACCCGAAGATGTTTAGGAGAAAGAGAGGGATGTCCGAGTGTAACTACTGTAAGCTTCTTTGTACTTCAAAGATTTACTGTTTATCTCCCTCTCCTTTAGATTTCGCTTGCAGCAACATTATAACTTTAAAATGAAATAAAAGTCGTTGCACTTTTACATTTGCCAGCTTCATATGCTTGATCGTAGATCCTATTAGTATTTAGAGATATGAAGTTCCAAAAACATAAAATCTTTTGAGAGTAAAAACTGCAAAGAAAGGTTACAGATACAGGGGAAATCTTAAGGAAAAAGGAAGAGGACAACAAAAGTTTCCCTCTCTTTATACAGCGAAAATTTGAATAAAACCCCAAAACAAACAGAAAAAAACCGCAGTGGTTTTTTACACTGTTCAATGGAAGGCTTGTGTTGAGACACCGAGCTGATGGAGAACACTGGTTGGGGAAGACGAGGAGGAAGATCTCAGTGCTTCTGCCAATGGCCCTCCCATGTGGTTATGGTGGTGGTGAGACCCTCCACCGCTCCACCAGCTCATGTTTTGCTGGTCTCTCCCATTGTGGTTGCTCCGAGCCTCTTCCTCGTTGCCTGTGGACAGCTTCAAAGAGACGTCTGAGGAAGAATTTCCAGGCATGGAGATGGAGAGACAAGTGGCTGAGCTCATGGGACTTGAACTATTGTCAGCTTCTTGGAGCGAAGAACGAGGCCAATCATCAAAGAAAGGCCTCAGGATATGGCCTCCATCTGACCTGTGGTTGCCGAATCCATTGTGGGACTCGTATGGCCTCTTGTTGTTGATGTTGTTGCTTTCTTGCTTCATCTCCGAACAACTGTTAACATAACCCACATCTCATGATTTGAAAGAGACCAAACTCATATTAAAAACAGAACACAAAGCAAAAGGAGGTTCCACAACTAGGCTTCAACAACATAACTAATAGCCTTTATACATATTTGATTATAGGGTTTAAAAGCACCTTTTAATGCAGGGTTTAAAAGAAGTGATTAAGTAGTAAATAGAAGAAATAGAATAATTAAATTGAGTTTGTATCATGTGTTGTGTGTGGATAGGGGAGGTGGGTGCAGAAGAATCTAAAAGCTTTAACTTTTCTGCAAGATATGAGACATATATGGGTCAGCTTTCACTAAGGTCCTACACTTTACTATTTCTCTCTCTTTCTATTTTCTCTGTTTGAAAAGTCTCACACAGCATCAAAAAAACAAATAGATTCTATCAAATCCAGTGTTATCATTATCTCTCAACAGCTACCAAAAAAAAAAAAAGAGAGATATTTTTCACAAAGAAATCAAACTCATAATTCAACAAATAAAACAAACCAACCCACCCTAAAATGATAAGGATGTGTCTCTCAATTTCCAACATTACCCCTCTCTTCACAACATTATACCAAACCCCAAGTTATGTAACATTAGCTTCATAGTCTTAAGTATCAGAACGAGTATTGTGTTTTCCTCTAAATCAACATCATTATTATTCATTCAAAACAACTGTCTCAAACTCAAGAGTCTCAAACCAAGAATCTGATTGTCTTAAAACTAAAGTAAGAAAAGTCAATGTGTTTAATGCTTTGACCAGCAAGTTCAACAGCTAAAACAGACAGACCTAAGAGAAAAGAAAAAGATTAAAAAAAAAACACAGTTCTTTTTATTACCTTTGACTAAGGTGGAGAAGTTCAGATGAAGAAGAGTTGGAAGGGGCAGAGAAGAAGAACGATCCTCCTTGACCTGCCACTTCATCACCACTACTACCACCACCAAAAGCAAACGTAGATGTTGTAGTTGTTGCGGTGGCTGTGGCTGCTGTAGCCATGGACGTGGCGGTGGCATTGACGGCGGTGGGAGTTTCCACAGGCTTTCTTGAACGGTTGCGGCCACGGTGCATGTGGCGCTCGCAATACTTGTGGCCAGCGAAGACGTCTCTTGAACATCTCCACTTCTTACCATCCGTTCTCCTGCATCTCCCTGGCTCAGGATCCATCGCCGCCCTCCCTAAATACCCTGTTTTTAAGCATTCATGTCACATGTAGATCAGACCGAGAACAAGATTCTACTTAATCCCATTCACACATGTCAAATTTAGATCTTCAAGATTGGCAGAAGAAGATAATATACTACTACTACTAATATCGAAAGTATAGATCTTGGGAAGTGGGAACACAACTCCAACACAGCAGCACAAAACCCATCATGCATCTGATTAATAAATGAATAAAAATAGTAGTAAAAAACTATCTCGAGACTCACAAGCAGGCTGGTAATGAGGGAGGTGTTGAAGAGGATGATGAAGGAAATAGGAAGGAGAAAGATGGAGAAGACTTTTCTTGATTGGTAAAAGGAGGCTAAGGAGCTCTTGAGGAACAGTAGCACCAGCCAACATGTACCTGTAGATCAGTGCCTGTAGTTCAAGTTCTTGCCACTGTGCTGAGCTAAAGAAGCTCCCCATCTCTACAACAAAAAGGAATAAATAAACAGCAACCATATCAGTAATTTGACAAGAAAAACAGAAAAGAAGATAAAAAAAACGAGAGGGGAAGAAAAGAAAAGAAAAGACTCACTCGGGAACCTGGAAGAAGAATCAGGAGACAAAGAGGAGAGTTTAGAAGAGGAAGGTTCAGGGGAAAAGAGAGGAAGAGCAGTAGAAGTTGGAGTTTGGGAATGAATCTGGTCATAGACATGTTTTGGTATCTTAGCTGCAGAAGGTTGTTCTTCTGACTCTGTCTGCTGTTGCTGCTGGCTTCTCCATTGTTTCAGTTGCAAATCCATGGAAGAGAGAGAGAAGTGTTGGTCACTTTTGGGATAATAGTTATTTCCCCCTTTATATATATATATATTTTTTTGTCTACCAGGGGGTCTGATTTAATAGCTATGAAAGTCTTGTTGGGGTTAGGAAGAGCAAAAAAGAAGTTCTTTTGCTCTAAGAAAAAAAGGTTTGTTCTTCTTTGTAGTCAGTTTCTGTATCTGAGCTTCTTCTGCAGAGAGAGAGAGAGAGAGAGAGAGAGAAAGGACAGAGGAGGGGGAAAGAGGTTTTTATTAGGGCACTTGAGAGACTTGGGAGAAAAAGACAGTGAGACAAGACAGATGGGGAGATAATAAACTATACAGTAAAAAGACTAAAAGAGTTAAACTATATGATATAAACCTTAACTAATTAATTGTGTTCACAAATCTTCATTAATCTTTCAGATTATTAAAATATTATAAAAAAATTATAAAAAGCAAAAGTCAGAAAACCCAGAAAGAACCACACTGCAAGATGAAGATGGAGAGATAATAACCTGCAGTTTTTCTGTCTTTGCCTGCCTTGGAAATACCAAATCTCCCAATTAGTATAATAATTATTATTATAAGAGTAAGTAACCTTATAATTAGTTTATTTATTAAAGAATACAACAAAACCCTGCTTGGGTGATTAATTTTAATTTAGTCTTTAATGAAGTGAATTTTGTTTGTAAGATTCTTTAATAGACTAGAGGAGAGAGCGTTACGTTGATACTAACCGTTAATACAGTACATAAGAATCGTTTTTGAGTTAAGTTAGTAAAATTCGTTAGCTAGGATCCACCTATGTAATGTAATGTAGTCAATCACACGGCACTAGTCACTAGATGTGTACTTTCTCCACTCTATTCTTTTCTTTTTTGACTTGTAAATTTCGTACCTTCGTCCATAAGATCTAGGCCGAAAATGGTAAATATCAAATTGGATAGTAGTATCGTAATTATTTTATATGCGTTACGGCAGGATTGGCTGTGGCTGAGAAAATATGCTTATATTTGTAAGTGAAAGACAGAATATAACTATCACTTCTCAATCACTAATTCACTATAGTAAACAATTAAATCTGATGTTTATACTAATATGAGCTTGAAAATGGTGGTAGAGAGATGTCTCAAGAACTCTCAAATTTGTATGGTTCAATTTGGTTAAGGTTGTGGTTCAATCATACTTCCTTTACTCTCTTTTGTCAACGGTTTGATTTTGTATACAATTCGGGTCGGCTGAGGTAGTAGTAAAAAGAAAAGAAGAAGAAGAAGTATGGGAGAGTGAAGAAGTAATAATGAGAAAAGAGAAGCAGGTGGGCTGTGTCAGGAAAGGTTCAGAAGTTAAAAGCATAAAAGTGAGTAACCCCAAGTGGGTGGTGAGGGTTTCTCTTTGGCTCTGTGACTCATCTTTGATTTGACTACTCATGGTACTCCTTGTCTTTTTATTCACTTTTTACTCCCCCTCCCCCCCTCTACTTTTTTGTTTTTACTTTTACCCTCCAAAATCTTTAATCTCATAATCCTCTCACCTACCTGTTAATGTAATTCGGAGGATTCATTAGACTTTTTTATTTTTTGCCATAAGACCATCATTATAGGGACCCCCAGTTTTCCAAAGAAAAGATCTTGCATATGATCTTTATTTGAAACTCATAAGATACCCCATATAATGTTGCCCTAACTCTAGAGCAAATAAGAGGCTACACTCATAGAAGTTACTGACCAGATCACTTTGACCGAAGAAACTAATAATACCACTCAGAGCGAGCGAACAAAAATTATCTCAGCGCTTTGGTTTTTTTCTTCTTCTTGTCATTCTTCAAGATCAAGATAACTAATTCTTTTACTGACATAATAGTATTATTACTATTCAATCAATCATATAGTGAAAACACATGACATCGTTGATGTAAACTATGAGAGAGGGCAATGATATAATATAACTAACTAAGAGCATCTCCAATGGTTGATTGAATAGCAACTCTATCTTGATGTTGAAAAATTTAGTGTTATAATGGTAAAAATCTTAATGAAGTGCTTAAAAACAAAAAATTAATTTAATTGGGAGAATTTCAAAAATACCCATTTTACAATATCACTTTTTAAAAATATCCCTTTTCTAATTTTATCAAAAAATTACTGTAAAATTTGAAATTTATCAAAAAAATATGCGAAAGCTTATATTTATAGACACAAACTATCTTTATATGTGTGTAAATTTATAGATATATCTCATAAATACCATATAAAAACCTTTTAAAACCTTTTAAAAATCATTTAAAAACCTTATAAAAACTTTGTAAACCTTTTAAAAACCTTATAAAACCTTATAAATGCCGTTTAGAACCTTTTAAAACCTTATAAATATTTGGATTTAGTCTCCCAGTAATAATGATGATCTTGATGTATCTTATCAACTATATAAAAGTTTATAATTTTCCATATTTGAAATTGGGTATTTTTGAAAATAGATAGAAAAGAGGGGTATAATTAAAAAGTGGTACACCAAAATGGGCATTTCTCAAAAATTCTTTAATTTAATTTGAATATTATCATATATTAAGTATATATAAATAAAAATAAATAGAAATATTTATTATAATTTATAAAAGAAAACAAGTTATTGCATACTATAAAATATTTAAATCATGACATAAAAGTATATATGAAATCATATAAATTAAAAACGAAATAAGCGACTAGTTGTAATATTGATTTGTGCCAAATTATGAGGAAAATGTTTTTTTTGTTTCTATTTTTCCACTCACCCACTAATATTTTGACACGTCAACGGCCCTTAACTTTTGCTTATAAAGCTAATTTAAGCTACAAAGCTTATGTTTTGTGGTTGATTTTACATTAAATATAATGCAATTAATATAAGCAATGTGTTAAGCATTGCATTAAGCATCTCTAATGGAGATGGTCTAACTATCGTAAAGACTAAAGAGAATAAAAGTTGGGTAAGAAAAAAGTTGTTCCTTGTGTATTTTTCTTTTTTTTACGTCGGCAAGAGAAAGAAGTTACGTAGAATTGTCGTACTTGTAGTTATATACACATTTATATATTCTTTTAAAAAATGAAATTGGGGAAATGAGAAAAGAACGAGTTAATGTACAAAAACAAATCTGAAAATGAAGATGAAGAAAGGTATGTGAGTTAAATATAGAAGAAATAGAGAGAGAGAGAGCAAAGGACAGAGAATAAGAAGGGAGAGGCGAGAGAGTTCACATGTCCAAGAGATGACAAAATACGTTTCTCTGACACAACTCTGTCAGAAGTACCCCCCAATATCTATATTTTATGATACAGTTTATATTTTGTTTTGTTTTCTTGTATGATATGAGAAAGAAACGTATATATTACCACCACCACCATAAGCCATAAGCCATAAGCCATGAGTCATGAGCCATAAAGAGGGGTCAGTGGCTCTCACTCCCCACTTGGGTCCCCAGTTCTTGTTTTTAAAATTGTAGTAAAAGGCAAGTCACGCCGGCACGCGAGCCCCCCTCACGTGATCCCACGTGCTTCTTTTTTTTTATTCTCTCCCCCCCTACTAGTATATTACTACTACTCTCTCTTTTATGGTTTGCGTAACATTCATTCATGTCATGTTACTAATCACTTTAACATAAGACGCATATGGCTTTGTATATAAAATCAACCACATGTATACTATATAAAAAAAGGCCACTACCAAACTTTGGACTTGTTCTGTTATTTCTTTTGGAAATAAGAATGCAAAAAAGATATATAGAAACGAAAAGAGTTCAAAAAAAAAGAGAGAGGAAAGAATAGATCTTTCTGGTGAGAGCACACTCATACACACAACACATTGTTGTTGACACAAGGTATCTAAGGGCATGACCGCACGTGTCAACATGCATCAAACTTGCCATCTTTCAATTTTTTTGTTTTGTTTTATGTATATATATTCTAAAGCATCCAATGTAAATGACTACTTTTATTTGCCTTGCATGTCATGCCAATCTCCTCCATATTTTTTTGTGTTTTCTTAATCTATATTACTAAACAACTTGATTTCCAATAATGAATAAGATCAGCCATTATAGTAGATCTAGTTGATGGGTTAGATATCGAATCTCTCATGTAATTTTATTCAAAAAAGAACATAATGTAATTAAGCTGTGCGAATATTGTTTTTGAGAGTAAAAGTTACATTGCAGACTGACTTTTACATGGCACTGCAACATGTCCTTTGGTCGTTATACAGTTTTGTACTTAGTTTGCGTCAGTTAATTTTACGTCGGTTAATGCTATATGTTGCAAAGAAGAAGAAGAAGCAATAAAATGAATCAGAATCTTACACATGATATTAATTAGAAACACTATTAATTAAGGAGAAAATGATTTCCTTTAACTCGTCTAGGAGCCAATTTGAGCAAAAAGAAAAGCATATGACATTAAGGAGAAAACCATATACTGTATGGTCAAAGCTTATCAGGCCTACATACAAGGATCTGAGCCTTAACCGGAAAAGTCCATTCTACTACTTTGTTTAGGCTCTCATATATTAGTATAAACGGCCATTTGAAATCAATTGACATTGTGTTTAGGCCCAATTGCCAAATTGTTTCAACCTCTATCAACCATAATCCAACTTCTTCTAAGAGGGTTTCCATTGTCGTCAAATTTGGATCTATAAGTGATGCAACAAATGCAACTATTGAATGATGTCATTGTATTTGCGGTGACATGAAAAATCGTTTTAACAAGTGTACGTAATATATATATGTTTATTTAACAGTTGTTGTATGTTTTGAATATTTTTGGAGCAGTTTTGTATTTAACTGGAGAAAAATGACAAAACAAAATCAATAAATTTTGCACATACGGTTGGTTGGGATTGGGTGGCACTTGGTATATAGTTCAGTCTTTAACAAATATAAACACTTTGTAGTATTTGCATAATACGTTACATGCCGTAGCAATACAGCAAAACTTAAGACTTTTTTTTTTTTTTTGTGAAAGCAAAACTTAAGACTTTACATTTTAAAATAAAGTGTTTTTTATTTTACACATTTTTGCTTTTGGATTCTAGCCGTCTTATGCATATGTCCCAAAATCATGTACTATTTCAGTTTTTTTTTTCCTTAGTAATTTTTAGAGAAAATGCAATCTAATACGAAATCTTAATTAACGGAGAGAGTACTAATTAAGTTACTAATTAAAAAGTCTAATTAAATTATTAATATAGTTCAACAAGCAATCAGCCGCCCCGGACAACCTCTTGAAAGGCTTTAAATGTTCTAAAGTTAATCCCATAATCAACAAAACATATATAGAGTGGTATGGTGTAGTCACAAGTCACAGAGAGAAGGTGAATGATGTCTCAAACCAACACTGGAGCAGCAGTCACAACGGCAGAGCCTCTTCTCAACAACGAAATGATGCTGCTTAGGAGCCTGAGCACAAGCAGTTGTTTTTCCAAGGAAGACGAGGAGATGACTCGTACAGTACTTTCAGCTTTTAAAGCTAAAGAGAGTGAGATCGATAAGAGGAAGATGGAGGTACGTGAAAGAGTTCAGGCTCAACTAGGTCGGGTCGAAGAAGAAACCCGACGTCTCGCCGCAATCCGCGAGGTTACTTTTAGTTTAGATATTATGTCACTTTTAATATAAAGTTTGACGTTATAATATATATATATATATATATGTATATATATGTGTCGGTTGTGTAATGATTAATGTTTTGGACAGGAACTTGAATCTCTCGGAGATCCCATGAGGAAGGAAGTTTTGATGATTCGTAAAAAGATTGATAGTGTTTACAAAGAGCTCAAACCATTAAGTTACTCTGTTCAAAAGAAGGTGACAAAACCATTATTTTCTTTTGTGATTTGTTTAATCTTGTTTCTGCTTAGTAACCACGAATAAAACTAAACCTTAAACCCTAAACGCAAGATTTTTTATTTTTTGTAATGGGGATAACTAAACAGCAAAGGGAGTATAAAGAAGCAGTTGATGTATTCAACGACAAGAATTTGGAGAAAATACAGCTCATCACCAAACTAATGGAGGTTAGCTTCGTGCTCTTATATATCGATCTAAGTTCATGCATGATTCGTAGGTTCGTATATGTTGCTTAACTCATGGTGTCTATTTTCTTACCGAGGAGATTGAACAGTTGGCTGGAGAAAGCGAGAATTTGAGGTTGAAGAAGCTGGAAGAGTTGAGCAAGAGCATTTTGTGAATGTCACAAACACATGTAAAGATCAATCAAGAACTTATATATTGGGTTTTTGGGTCTTGGCTCTTTTTGTGAAGTTATGACGTTTCTTCTTTCTTCTTTTGTTAATATATATGTGAAATTTATAAGTGTCGAGGATCTATGTATAATAATCTGTCGTCAAAAATATCTAAATAATACATTTTTTTGTCTTTGATTATAGTTCTTATGTTTGATATAACGTTTTCACACCCATGGAACACACAAGCTATCCTCTCTCTTTTTGTGTTACTAAAGAAACGGTCGGGGCTGTGGTCCGGACATCATCTTTTTGAGTCGGGCACTAGAACATGTAAATTTATAGTAGATATCTTGTTTGAGATAATGTGAATTTTGTGTATATATGGTTTACAACTGTAGCTTTCAAACGATTTATCATTTTGTTTTGGTATTTAGCAATCGGTGAGAGCTGTCAAGTAATCTAGCTCTATTGTGTAACTCTATCAATAAATACATACACATAGGTCCAAATACTTTTGGTTGACCTCGAGCGATAGACGAAAATTCTCGCTTCATAGGATCAGGTTGCTAGCTAAATCCTAATGGTTGTTCATCAAGCAAAAACCCCCTTCATTCCAGCTAAATAATCGGTTACAACTTAGTACTTACATACAGCTGTGTATTGAGTTTATGTAGCAATATCCGGTCAAAAGATCGATCTACTTCGAATATAATTAATACGTTTCTAATATGTTTTAGGATTAGTGAGGTCAATCCATACTAGTTCTTGTTTTCAAATGTTGGTTTAAGATTCCGCGATTATGTCATCAACATGTTCTCCATTTATAAACTTTGTATAAATATTTTGCTGAGAGAACAAGATGTAAACGCAACAAAAGTTTCCTACTTGAATAGCCCAAGCGCTGATCCACTGCACAACTTTATCCGTGAAGTTTGAATCATACTTCATCCCTGAAGTTAGAGAATCATGAATCCAACAAATATTGAGCTTATTGAAACCAATAAACCCTACGTTAAGGCCCAAAACATGCAAAATACCCACGACCATTATTGGGCATGTGTGTTAGCAGTGACTATTTTCATAGTCTTTTGGGAAATTTACAAAGGAAGTCACAATATCATATCGTACAATTTGGTTAAGCTTTATTTATTTTTGCAATTTTCTCAACTCCATCATCCATGATATTGTATTAACTGGTGGAGATTAAATTTTGGTTTTTTTTAAGTTACGTGTAGCGATACTCAATATAGTATGATAAGATTTGACGGGATTTGTAAGACAAAGTCTTTTGGACGTAATAATAGGCATTAGCTTTGGTCAAGTCAATGGTAGGACAGAAGACTAATTTTCTCAATGACTTGTAGACAAAACTATTAAACCTTAAAAACAAATCCTGTCAGACGCAGATGATTTTTTTGTGATTATTTTTTTTATATATATTGAAACCAAAATGATTTTCGATTTATTTTGACCATCATAACCACAGACTCAAAATTACTGTTAGCCTTAAAATTTTGACTTAAAACTTTGAAGAAGGTTTTTGATGAGATGGAAAGTGTTTGAAATTATTGTATACAAAAAGCTTAAGAGTATTTGATGAGCCAACTCTAGTCTTTTGCTTTATATCTACAGCTATGAGGTCTATTGTTTGAAATCCAAATCAAAGATATTTTAATTTCTAGTTGTCAAATACCCCTAAAGATTCATTCGTATAGAGATCTTTACGAATACATTTATATGCTATACAAAAATAAAAAAAGAACAGGCACATATGATTGGTTGGATATGGTTGTCACACTTGGCAGTTAGGTCATTTTCTTAGCTTTGCTTCTTTCAATAAAATAAAATAAAAAACAGTCTGTAACATTTGTAATAATACGCCAATGCCCAAAATTCTTTAATTTATACGTTGGCACATTTCTTGCTTTTCCTTTACAGACAGAAGTATGTATCTTTCCACTTAATATAAATAAAAATCCTCTCGAGTCTTGACCATACCCAAAAATTGAAAAAAAACATACAAATACAGAGAGAAGACAAATCGAATTAAGTAGTGTGATTAGAATATATAAAAAAAAGATTAGGTGAAAATGGTGTAATTAATTAATTAAAAAAAGATTGGGAATAATAATATTAATTATTTAAAAATGAAGAGCTTTGCTTTGCTTTTAGGAAATACTATACACACACCACACGGAAACGCACTGAGAATACAGCAAATCGTTCTCTTTCCGCCATTAAAACTCCTTCCTTCCTAATAAGAACTTTTTCTAAACCCCCAAATCAGCAAAAATAGGGTTAATCCAAGAACCCCACCTTAGTAATTCCACTGAGGAGGAGGAGGATTCGAGTTCCTGCTTTGGTCTAAGGAAGAAGAGCAGCAGAAACCGCAAGGACAAGAAACCGAAGATGACTCAGAGTCAAACCAACGACGGAGCTGCCTCGACGGTTGAAGCAGCTGCTCCTCCTCAGCCTCAGCCTCAGCCTCAGTCTCAGCCTCAGTCTCAGGCGCCTCAGCAGAGCAACGAGATGGTTATGCACACGGGGAGTTTGAGTTTTAGTAGCCATATGTCGAGAGAAGACGAAGAGATGACTCGTTCTGCTCTTTCTGCGTTTAGAGCTAAAGAAGAGGAGATTGAGAAGAGGAGGATGGAGGTTCGTGAACGGATCCAGGCTCAGTTGGGTCGGGTCGAACAAGAAACCAAACGTCTCTCTACTATTCGTGAGGTTTGTTATTTTTTTTACTCTCTTTCCTTGTAAAGTTTTGATTTTTATTTATTACATCTCTCTGAACTTGTCTCCTAGAGAGTCATAAACCCTGGAAAGTTTGTTTTTTTTGGTGTTGTTTCTCTGTTTTTGGGTTTTCAAGATCTAGGAATTGGTTAAGTGTAATTGTTGGGTCGATGTAAGGGGAAAGGGTTTGATTTTGGTGTTGTGGTTTCTTGTAACAGGAGCTTGAGTCTATGGCAGATCCCATGAGGAAAGAAGTTTCTGTAGTTCGTAAGAAGATTGATAGCGTTAACAAAGAACTCAAACCTTTAGGTTCCACTGTTCAAAAGAAGGTACTATTTGATGATTTCTCTAGTTCTGTCCACCATGAATAATACAAATTTATATGTCTAAGTAAGTAAGCGTTTTGTTATTTCTGGTAACCAAATGAATCCCCTATGAGGTAGAGACCTTTAGCAATTGGGTTTGCTAGACTGAATGAAGAACCTGAAAAGTTTAATTGAAATTGAAAACAGGAAAGGGAGTACAAAGAAGCACTTGATACATTCAACGAGAAGAACAGGGAGAAAGTACAGCTGATCACCAAACTCATGGAGGTTAGTTCTGAGCTCTCAGCTAAGTTCTTAATTTTTGTAGAAACTACGGGGGGGACAGAACCGGAGTTTAAAACCGTCTGCTTGTTATACATAAATGGTGTTTGTTTTTTCTTTTTGGGGAGATGGAACAGTTGGTAGGAGAAAGCGAGAAGCTGAGGATGATTAAGCTGGAGGAGCTGAGCAAGAGCATAGAAACCGCATGATATGTGTGTGTGTGTTCCAAGAACTAATTGGTTCTTTTTGTGTGATGTACCTAGTTTTTTAAATTTCCATCTTGTAAGATGTGTGTATTTTTAAGGTTTTGTGGGGGTGCTTTTGAAGGGGTTTGATTTTGTAAAATTTGTGGCTTCTCTTTTTTTTGATTAACCAAATTAGGGGATATGGGATAATCTGGGAGATTCTTAGGATACTGAAACAAACTCATCACAGTGGATTGAATTTTTTTTTTTTTGTAATCTGTATTATGTTTGCATTTGTCTTTTGAAGAATTAATTTATTTTATTTTTAAATTTGGTTTTGGCTTTAGAGTAAAGTTTATTATCGTTGGCAAAGATGGAAAAAAGTGACTCTCGCGTGCGTTTTTGAAATCTAAAAAGCTGTCGGAACGGCAGAATCTTTTTTCACTTGTTTATTTACATAAATCCTTTCCGTTTATACATCAAACCATCGAAGTATACAAAACGGGTAATAACAAATTATATAATTTAAAATGTATCTATAAACGTGGACATTACCATTAAGTGAATATAACAAAGGTTTCTAGTTTCTCTACTAGAACTTGGCCAAACAATAATATGTACTTGGTTTGCTACTTTGCTTATGAATCCTCACTTGTCAACCATAATCCCAAGATGCATAAAGATCACTCATGGCCATAAAAGACGAGTAGTAGTATAAATTGATAGCTATAGCTGGAAGCCATGGGATATATATATATATATATATATATAGCATATCTTGAAACGTACCTGAGGATATATGCAATAGAGCGCATTAAAATGTGTGTTTGCCACAAAGTCATGAATGAAGGAAGCATATTTTGGTGAATGGTGGAAACGATGCTCTGACATAATTATGAAAGTGAGGTATCGTAGTCGTACGTAGAGAGCGTCAACCAAACTTCAATAAATTAAAGTGATCAGTAAAAATATATAAGAGACCTGGTTTTAGTGGGTTTCACAATCCCTCCCGCAGTCATGAGCTTGGTTTTAATTTGTGTCTACAAACAATTGGGGCATATGTGCGCAATATCTAAGTTGTCTGCCACGTAATTTTGCTTTCGTATGTTGATCATGTGTGAGTGTGTGTAGTAACTGGTAAGAAGATGTATCCTTAGTATTACTTAAGATAATGTTTTCTTTTTCATTTTCGTGAAAATTAGTCAATCATGCTCTACGTGAACGTAAAGCTTTGCGTGGATGCTTAGCCATCTCCATTAAACCCAAAATATATTTTCACATTGTAGACTCTGTTGTTCTTTTCTTGGAAATTATATCCCAAATATGTAAGCATCCCAAATTGAGAAATAAATATCACTAGAACTTTGGACCCAACCTTAGGCCCACTTGTAACAATTATATATGTTATTAGTCCATCTAATAGCATCATTTTACTTTTTATTATTATCAAATACTCCTACAATTTAGTTTTTTCATAACTTATATATTTAGAATTTTACTTGGCTATATTATATAGTATTTTTAAAACGTTGTTTTCTTTAAATGACATGGACAATTCCACGTCAAATCCCTAAAATAAGTTTTTCTAACGAAATATTTAAAATATTTATCAGTAAATATCCGTAAATTAGTAGATTTGATCTTTGATCTATATATATACTAATTCTTACCTTCAACAAAATAGAAATGCTTTCTTTCATAATTTGAAATTCTCATAACTTTGTCTATATAAAAGTTTGTACGTTTAGAAAGTGAGCGCCAATCCAATGTATCATGAGACAATAATGATAGAAGCTAATGTGATTTAATCGTTAATAACGACCGTTTAATTTGCTTTATTTGGTGGGCGGGGTATACATATTGAATGAATTCGTCAGACTGTCTTTTTAAATTACACATACTTTCAATTCGTGATTTTTTGTTTGTTTTTTACATTTTCATGTTTTATTTTTGTCTTGATGTATTTGGTATGTTATGTACTTATGTATATGTAAACAAGACAATAAAAATCAAAAACAAGATCGGCATGCAAGTTTGTGCTTTTCTTCATCAATTATTTAGGACATAAATTTGAACATGTTACAAATAAAACAAATACGTTCAATGTAGATAATGGACCCAAACGACAGAATAAATTGAAAATTTAGTCCATAAACCGAAAATAATAGAAATGCATTGTTTTACCGGTTTGTCACTTTTGCCTTTTTAAATATTCTTCTAAACTCATTACTATTTTGCAAATAACCTATTATGTATATATAGTTTGAAAATATTTTTATGTATTATATATGGCAGAATTTTTAAGTAAGTTCTTTTCATGCTCATTGCTTCATGTTTAGCAACTTATGTGAAGCCATAAACTTCTTTTGTTTAGAACACAAAATTTCAAGCTTCATGTCCATACTCTCACAAACTTTTGTTAAAAATTCAAAATTTAAAATTTTTAGTTTATGTGGGCACGTTAGCTACAATCGAAGTATGAATTTGTTTTAACATCGATTTAGGCCACGTTACACACCTCCCTCGCAAGAAAAAAAAAGTAGCTTAGCCCTTAGGATTCGAAACGACTAGTCTCATAGTCTCATGACCTTATGCTTTGTCTGCCTCTAATTTATTGAAGATTTGGCTGCTACGTTGATGGCAATTCTCTCTTCCATTGCCAATCTTTTTCACTGATTGTTTTTGCTGTCACTTCGAACATATTTCTATTATTATTTTTTAAGAAGAGCAAATAAAAAGCTTACAAGTGATGTCAGTATACTTCTGTTTCTGTGCATGAGGTTTGGAGATGTCATTAACTAGCTATTTGAATTATGGACGCAAGTAAACACTACAAAAAGATGGCTCTATCTATATATATTTATGTTTGACAATGTTTTATATGTATGGTCGTTTTCACTATAGTATCCAATACTTAATTTATAGAGCGTGTTACAGTTAGCCACAATTAGAACAATTTTCTAAGAAAAAAACAAATTTGGTTTTATCAGACGACCTTTGGAAGAGAAGAACAGTAAGTACTACACGATCAAACTTAAACAATGAGAGAACAATCAAAAAATTATAGTAGGTTTGCAGTTCAAGTACACGTACTGTGGCTAGCTATTAACAGTAACCAAACAAAAGTGGGTTTCCAAATATTTTCAAAATAAAGTTGATTTTTCTCAAATGGGAGCCATATATACATTTATATATAATATATATAAAGTACTTGTACATTTATTTTATTTCCCACTCACACATTTAATAACGATGCACTCTTATTATTTTTATGCTACAAATTGTAAGCACATTATCAAAATAGTATCATGCACATTGCACAAATATGTCTTTTCTTCTTTTTTTTTTTGTTTGTGTCGTTGCAAATTTCATCTTTGAAGTCAATAATTGACGTCGACGTAAATAATAAATTACGTATGTATGCATTAAACAAGAACGTCCAAGAAACTGAGCAATAACTCACATATATATATAATGTTCGAACTTCGAACTGTTCATGTATATATGTACTTTTCAGTTTCACTTCACATAAACTCTTTTTTTGTTTTACTGTATACGTAAAATTGCATTTTAATACTCTTTTTTCAAATTTTCAACTATAGTATCAGAGGGTTTTTTTTGTCTTGCAACAATTTTATAAGTATGTAAATAAATAAAATCCGTCGGCATATTCATAAATTGACATTTCATGGTACAAATAGGGATATTTTTAATTCATTGGTCAATTACAAAGTTTTGTCCTAATAGTAAAACTAGTTTTAAAAAGACAAAAAAAACAGACATATACGGTGTCGTTTTACGGTCCACGCGTTCAACAAAAGCTTTTGTGTCTGCTGCATGAAAAAACGAAGAATGATAGATCATAGATTTGGCTAATTAAACTAATAATTAATCAGAATAATCAGCTGCTAGTCTAACTAATGGAGTACTACAACTTCACTTAATCTTAAATCTTTTTTCGTTTTTTAATTTATATATCAAATATATGTAAAATTAGATATTAAAATCTTAATAGAGACAGCGGGGAATCCTAGAAGAAACAGTGTCACTACAAGTTGCTCTCATTCGCTAATTATTTATTTAATACAGACTATAAATTATAGTATTACCAAATTAAAAATGTCTACGTAAGTGGTGATAATTAGTGGACATCGCTTTTCATGAAAAAAATATAGTGAGACAAGAACAACAACAAAGAATAATAAAATACATATCTACTTATTATTAAAACAAAGATTTGACAATAATTGACAATAGGTATGAGTGCATGAACATTAAAACTAATTAATAGTATATCATTCCACAATCTCTCTTTAAATCAATATTTTTCAAAAACTGTAAGGCAAAAAAAACAAAACAAAACAATAACGAAACCGTAGTATTAGTAGTAGTGCCAGATGAAAGAAATTATATAAGGTCGGACCAGACCATAGTGAAAAAAAATTAATATCCCACTATTAAATTAAACTATATAGTATAAAGTCCACAGATGCTGAGAATTTAATTAAAGGGTCGAGTACCCCAGCTGTAAAGCCTACAACTTTTTCTTTCTCATTTATGGTGCGAACCTTTTATTGTCCTGCCCAATGCATTTTTTATTTATTTTTAATAATACTAGTAGTAGTCATTAATAGTTTTTTTCTTCGTTTTCTATAATTTCAATTTTCAAGGAGAAAACAAATAAGATAATTCGATTGTATAAAATTAGTAGTTAGTATTATTATTTTTTGTGTGTATATTTCACGTGTTTGTGTGTACGTAGGACAAATCAGTCGTTGGATTAGTAGTTGCCAACAGTTCTAAATTTTGGTATTTTACTCGTTTCTCTGTATTTTGTTAGGGTCAAAGATAATATATAAATTTTGTGAAAACTAATCATAGATATATTACGACAAAAATACGGACCTGTTCATTCATTAATCGCAATTATATAAAGCTGAAACAGATAATGCCCTGTTTCTTTTTCTCATCATTATCAGATCTATCAATACTTTGTGATAAAATTGATTTATCATAAATTTATAGGTATGAATCGTATGATTGCTTTTCTTGATTTCAACATCGTCAGATACTACTACTACCATTATCTTTTCCTAATTTGTAAGTTAATAAGATTCGTACGACTGTTGTTATTTTGGGATTTCTTAAAAAGAAAATTATAATTAATCAAGGTTAGGTTTCGTGCTATGCCCGGTAATGTTAAATGTTAGAACATGGTGTGTTTTTTTGTTTTTACTTAATTGTCCATCACTTCGATCAGATATTCGGATTAGGACTTACGTCAAGTGACAATCAGAAGTCTATAATCATATCTTATATTGCTTTCAAAACCAATTAACGTCAGTCCGCTTATATAAAGAAAAACAAACATATGTATTTAATTTAAAGTGTTCAGTCCATTTCACTAAGCACTTATAAATTAATCATTCTACTTTTTATAAATTTATGTTTGAACTATACTCTAGTAGAGCAAATCTCGTATCAAATCGTATTGAATATCTCTCGGTGTTTTTTATTTATAAAAAAAAAGCTATGTACACTTCTGAATGGTCTTAAATATTTTCAAAATCTAGTCACAGTTACATCTAATAAACTAATAATAAGCTTTATAATTGAGAAAATCAATGGTTTCAGTATCAAATCATAAGCTAGCTAGCCACCACTTCAAATTATGGGGTTTTTTTTTTTTTTTGTGTGTTAATGCTATAACTCAAAATTATTAACTTAGTAGCAAATGGTGCTGCTAAAAAATTGGATATACTGACAATATAACATGGCCAAATATAGAACAATTTAGAAGGTTTGGAAACTAATCCGTTGGCCACTGATATTTTGTTCTCGTTGCTACTTTGAATCTGAACATTGTTTTTGGTCTCTGAATCTGTGTTTGCTTGTCTTCCAACATCACGACTCGCATATCGATACTACAACTTCAAGCAAGACACATGGAAATGCAAGAGTTAACACTCAACACATGCAAAACAAGCCCCCCCAAATTTTATCCTCCTACTACGATAGCTGGACCAAACCTAACATGAATTCGGTTTTATCCAGTTTATCTTCTTCAATTATGATTTCCAAGATCATTCATCCCTCAACAAGAATTGTCATTTCAGGAATCATCATCGTACCGAGAGTGAACAGCACTTCATCTACAAATATAGTGAAAGTGTTTACCTTATGTTTATAAAGTCTCGTATAACGTTTTAACTTAACTGAATTTTACAGTAATGGTAACTCCAACGTTGTAATATCTTTTAAATGTCAATATCCTCGCTAGACAAATGGTATACACTTCATGACCACACACCACAGTATGGTTCCTTCGTGTGAAAATGATTCTGCTGCCTTTATATAAATGGAGTATAAGAAAATTCAGGTGAAGTTACTTACTGCTCAATCGAGTTTTCACAAACCGGTGAAAAGAAAAGGATAAGAAAACGCACACACACACACACGGCTACAAAAAGACTCTTTAAAATTGACACGTTAACTCTATTTTTCAGGAGTCTTTGAGGCCCACTCTGATAATAATATGTCAACTAAACTTTCTTTTAACAAACAAAATTACCGTTGCATAAGACATATGTCGATCATTATAATTCAATATACATATGAAGATAGAAAGAATATGAGACGAAAACTTTATTTTTATTTTTATTTTATTTCTATAGTTTTCAAGATGCTAGGAAGTAGCCAAATCCAAAGCATTGACTCTTTATCCAATGTCTCTCACCCTTTGTCTTCTTCAACTGTTCTCTCATCCTTCACCCAAAATCTCCCTCACTCTCTCTCTCTCTCTCTCTCTCTTCTTATAAGAAAAGAGGTAAAAGCTTCCTTCGTTTCACTATTTCCATGATTCTGAATTCCACACAGAGAGAGATAGTAAAAGCTAAGTAGTAAAGTCTTCTGCTGCCATGGCCGAGAAGAAGAAGAAGCATTTACACGAGCTTCTTGAAGATGACCAAGAACCTTTTCATCTCAACCATTACATCGCTGACCTCCGTTCTCAGATGGGCTGCTCCGATTTGCGTCTCAAGAAGCGTAAGTCCGACAACGTCGCCACGTTTCCTCCTGGTTTGTTCTCCTGCGAGAGTTCTTGTTTTTTCGCCGCTCATAAATCTCCCGACCCAAGAAAGTCTCCACTCTTCGAGCTCCGGTCTCCGGGAAAGAAAAAGACACGTGACGGTCGAGTTTTCCTCCAGATTCCGGCTAGAACCGCCGCAATTCTATTGGATGCAGCGGCGAGGATACAGAAGCAACAGTCGGAGAAGGCTAAGACAAACAAAGCTCGGACCAGAGGAAACGGGTTTGGTATGTTGGGGTCTGTCTTGAAGCTGCTAACAAACCGTAAAACAAAACCACGTTTAGATAGCGCTGATGCAAACGTGATTTGTTTAGAACGCGGGTCGGAACCGACGAGTAGTAGTAGAAGTAGTAGTAGCCGGAGAGAGCGTTTTATGGAGATTGGTGATAAGTGCTTCTGTGACAGCCCTTTTCATTTTGTTCTCGAAACAACTACTCCATCTTCCTCCGGTCACCGGACTCCTCATTTCACATCGACGGCTACTTCTCCGGCGCGCCGCAGTACTGAGGTTTGTCTCCATCTCTCTCTTTTATTTTATTTTTTTTAAAAAAAACTTTCACCAACAAAAGTCTAAAGATATGGACAAATTACGTCGTCTAAATTTTTTATAATTATGGAGTCTAAATTTTATATCAGAACTTAGCTATAGTTCATTTTTTTCAACAAAAAAAAAAAGTTTTTTAATTTCAAACTCGAAATGATAAAACTATAACTATGCAATTTAGATGTTAATGGTGATTTCTTTTCTGAAATTGTTAATTTTTTCAGTTATTCCTAAATAAATTTACTACTAAAAAGTCCGGAATTAAATAAATTACCATACAGTAAAAAAAAAAGTTAAAAAACATTCTATGGAAAAACTGAAAAAAACATCTTCTGATTAGAGCAGAGACACATGGCCGGCTGATAAAATTGTCTGTATGATATGACTGAATCATGAAAGTTTTTTCAGCAAGTACGGTAAATATGTTTTTTTTTTTTAACTTTACTTTACTTGAGAACGACGGATATGCCCCTGTTTTCGCATCCACACCTATCGTGGTGAGCTTCGCTATGGTGGGGGTGTTTATGTCATTTGCAAACCTGTGGTCAACATTCCGATTATTAGTTCAACTTGAAAGGTTTCCAAACCAATTAAAATTATTTACCTGCCAAATTACCAGAAGAACACACATTTTCTAGTTTCTACCTTTGAATTCTGTGGGTTAAGTCTTAAATGTCAACCGAACCTTTTTGTAATTATTAGCTACAAACTCTTAGAAATGTCATTTAACTTTTGTGAAAAAGTTTCCAAGGTTTTGTCAAAAAGTTGTGATCTTTTTTGGGGAAGTATTCAATTGTATGTTTACAAAATTCAAAAGTCATACTTATTTTACACTTTTTTTACAAAATTCAAAAGTAAAATTTTACTCTTCTTGTTGTGGTTTTTTTTTTCTTTGTGTTTTTTATTTATTTAATGCTTAGTGAAAAAAATACCTAAAATATATATATAGGTAACATGGAGAAACCCTTAATGGGTACGTGAAATAGTGCGATAAGGATATAAATTCAAATAGCTAAATATAGTTGTGATCCAGCGCTAGAAATAGTAAGGGACAAAAAATGTTGAAACCAAAAGTGTGTTAAATGAGTTGTAACAGGACGAAGATAGCGATGAGACAGAGAGCTTAGAGAAAGAGAGAGGACAAGAAGAAGAAAATAAAGAAGAGGAAGACAAGGAACAATGTAGCCCTGTCTCTGTACTTGATCCTCTTGAGGAGGAGGAGGAGGAGGAGGACGAAGACGAGGACCACAACCAACACGAGCCTGACCATCTCGATCATCTCTCTTGCAGCTTTGAAGTTGTACAACGTGAGTATCCAATCTTATATCACATCACATGGGCCAGTTGAATTGAAGACATATAGACTGGTCCCGAGATCGTATTAAGGGTTTTATAATGTTGTGTGTTTTGACTGATCAGGGGCGAAAAGGCGGCTACTCAAGAAGCTTCGTAGATTCGAGAAGTTAGCGGGGATGGATCCGGTAGAGCTCGACGGGAAGATGTCGGAAGAAGAAGATGACGACGAAGATGAAGATGAAGAAGATGAATATGAGGAGAGCGAGGAAGACGATAACATGAGGATTTACGATTCAGATGAAGAATATGAGGACGTAGATGAGGCGATGGCACGAGAGAGCGGGTGCGCAGAAGAGGAGAGGAGGAAGAAGAGTGATGAAAGACAGAAGAAATGGAGGATGATGAATGCATGGAAGTTAGGGGTGGGAGCAGAGGATGGTGTAGACGCGGTTGTGCGTAAAGATATGAGAGAGGAGACCAAAGAGTGGACAAGACACGGTGGAGAAGTGGAAGAGGCGGTGTCCGATCTCGAGCTCTCTATCTTCTTCTTCTTGGTTGATGAATTCTCCCTCGAACTTGTCTCTTCTTCTCCGTGAACAAATAATGAATTTGGTTAGAGACAAGAAAATTAGTAGATTTATGGAATAGATATGTCTTACTTGATAAACTCTAATTAACCTCTTTAACGTTAATCTAGGGGAATCCTTGTCACTTATAAGGCCTCTAAAAAATGTCACAACGTTAATCTCTCTTCATACACTACATCTTCTAATGTACAAAATCTTAGTTGAATGTTTTTTTAGAATAACTCAATTTGTATTCAAGAAAGGTAAAATGTATATAGTTAGGAAACGTTCATTGTATGGTATTTCTAGGTTTGAACATTCAGCTTAGTTTAATCAGTTTTGAATAGAGGAATTTTAGGACCACGTCTCAGCTTAATTTTAAAATAAGCAACGTAGCTGACTTCTATCAACCGAAACCTCCACTCTGACATTCTCAAAAATCAGGCCCAGTAAGAAAAAAAATTGGTAGTCTTTGAAAAATCATAAATAAATTTTTTAAAAGACATCTGACATCTATCAAAAGGAGCCAAATAATAACCAAAGGAACATAGACTATTAGAACATATCGGCTTTGGGTAGAGTCAGTGTCTAGCCTGATGTTCTTTTGGATTGGTTATATATACTGAGTTTGTATAAGGGATTAGTCAGATAGGAAAGTACTCGCACCAAATATTGTTAGGCTTCTCTCGGGCTCGGAGTCTTGGACATGGATGGCCTGATTGGCACCTACGTGCGTGATACCAACCAATAATTTTCTTCTTTTGACCAACCAATAATTTTATAACATTTTTTATAACTTTTAGATTGTTTACTCGAATACTATCAACAAACGTATATCTATAACTCTAAAATAAAATAATAACAATCGCTTCTAGTTCTTCATAGAAATTTCGTAGGATCATGGAAGGACCAAGTCATGAGCCATGACTACTAACTATCATTAAAAAAACTCTTTTAACTAAATATGTGAAACATATCATCCAGCATAGAATGGACCAATCTCCATTATGTGACGACTAATAAGTGGACCAGCAAAAACGAAAAATACCAATCATAAAGACTAGTTTAGTTCCAAAACTACCCCTTATCACTTGTTTATAGATATCATTATCATCAATTCCACACCAATAAAAATGGTGGACGCGGCGGAGCAACCGCTTCCCGCCTCCGTACTACCGGACGAGGGAGAAAGCCTCCTCAAGATCCGCATTGAGAGGATGCATAAGAAGCTGACGGAACCACCACGGTTGCTTAGCTCGGCCGCGGGACGACCAACTTGCTCCATCTTCCGAGTACCTCAGAGCATGATTGACTGTAACGGAAGATGCTATGAGCCGCGAGTCGTCTCGATCGGACCGTATCACCGTGGCAAAATGCACCTCAAAATGATTGAAGAACACAAATGGCGTTACTTAAACGTTCTTCTCGCTCGAACCCAAAACCTAACTCTAGAGGCTTACATGAAGCGCGTGAGGACCGTTGAGGAAGAGGCGAGGGAGTGTTACTCCGAGTCAATACACATGGAGTCCGAAGAGTTCAACGAGATGATGGTTCTTGACGGTTGCTTTATTCTTGAGCTGTTTCGTAAAGTGAGCATTCTTGTTCCTTCCGAACCTAACGATCCACTTATGGCCATGGCTTGGGTTCTTCCTTTCTCTTACAGAGATTTGCTCCGTCTTGAGAATCAAATCCCTTTCTTAGTTCTTGAAACTTTGTTCGATCTCACGAGAGGTGATAACGAGAAAGAGACCAACGCTTCATTACAGTCTCTAGCGTTTGCCTTCTTTAACAACACGATGCACAGAACAGATGAAGATCTCGCCAGGTTCAAAGACCTAAAAGCCAAACACCTCCTCGACCTCGTCCGGTCAAGCCTCATCCCGAAGAATGAGCTTCACGAGCCGCCGGTAACGAATAGTAAGGAGAAGATGCCGTCCCACGTCATACACTGCATCTCGAAGCTCCGGCGAGCCGGGATCAAGCTCCGGGAGCTGAAAGACGCAGAGAGCTTCTTGGTGGTGAGATTCAGGCACGGAACGATCGAGATGCCGACGATCACCGTCGATGACTTCATGAGCAGTTTCTTAGAGAACTGCGTGGCCTACGAACAATGCCACGTGGCGTGCTCAAAGCATTTCACGACATACGCGACGCTACTAGACTGTCTGATGAACAGTTACAGGGACGTAGAGTATCTATGCGAGCAAAACATCATAGAGAACTATTTCGGAACAGATGCAGAGATCGCGGGATTCGTGAACAGTCTAGGCAAAGACGTGGCCTTCGACATAACACAGTGTTATCTCAGAGACTTGTTTAAAGACGTGAATAAGTATTACATGAGTGGTTTGCATGTGACATGGGCTGGTTTCAAATACACTTACTTTAGCTCTCCTTGGTCTTTTGTCTCCGCTCTTGCTGCTTTTGTTCTTTTGGTTTTGACCGTTGTCCAGACTATTTACACTGTTCTCCAGGCTTATCAAAAATAAATTCAATGTTTCATCACTATATTTTCCAATATAATTCAACGAATTTGTTGGTTATAATTAATTGGATGAAGTATATGCAATTGATGAGAATTCTAGTATTTTAAAAATCCTACTTCTATTATTGATTCTGTAATAATGTGTTTTTGGGATTAGTTGTCCAAACGTGTATCTATAATGGTACGAGTTATAAAGAAATGATGATAATAAATAAGAAGAATAGTGACAAACTATCATAGAATTAAATAAAAGGTTTCCTCAGAATTTGGTAACTTCAACTCCGTTAACAACTACTTATGAATCCTTTTTCGGATTACACCCATTATCTCAAGTTTTGGATCGAACTAATCCATTGACACAAATCGTTTATGGGAGAAAATTGAGTTATTTGGGCCCGGGCGGATTAACGGGGCGAACTGCAAATTTTCGGATACGAGATATCCATCCTAGTCACTATGGGCGATTGGCAAAAATAGGAGACTCGTTGACGGTAGGAATTGGTCAATTCCTCAATGTTTTTGTGGATCAACTGAGTCAACGTGACAGCTCAGGCTTCATAAACACACTAGCGAGACCCTGGAATTTTGGTAATTTCGTGTAAACTAACATAAATAACACTTCACATATATTATACTATTTCAGTAGTATCTAGAAGTTCTGACCAAATGTTTAGTACTTCAAAATAAATAGTGCATACGATAACTTGGCAACCTTATTAAAAAAAATAACGAATGCAATTTGCCGTGATCATCATGTGTTAAACCCAATTGCCTTAAACACGAAATTATTTATTTAATTTAAAGATCCATACTATAACAAACGTGCAAAGGAGGGAATACAATACAGAGTACGAGTACTGAAGACTTTTCCAAGGATCGATGACCCTCGTAATATCTATGTTTGATATTTCTTCTTACCAAGTCTCTCGAAGAAGACTCGGTCGTAACTCCTTCTTCAAACAATGTCTAAACTTAATAAGCAAGCCGCATTAGTTAGCTACATATATATATATATATATATATATAAACACACGATCCAATATACATATTTCAGTAAACACACAATAATACAGTATACTTTTCGATATTTGCCTTCTGAAAATATTGTTTCCAAGATCGTCAATTTCGTGAAACATATTCTCTGATTTATACGAACACAAGAATGAGCGGCGAAACATCTGTCACTAAATCTAGCAGGTCAGACGAAAATCAAACGGTGATAGGATATATTGAGATACTTCAAGATCATCAACTTTCTAAGCTTGAGAGGCGCATTGATATTCACACGACACGTTCCCGAGGAGGGGGAAGTCTAGCCGAAGAGGTCATGGAGAAGCTTGAGAGATTCAAAATACGTACGGTTAACATCTTGGTGGGAGGAGATGATGGCGAACAGAAGAAATAAAACAAATTTCAAATATTTGAATTCATTCATTCATTCTTTTCTAACCAATCAAAGACTTTAATTACTTTTTCGTTGCTCTTCACTTCCAAGTAAAATAGGTTTTTAATGGGTTTGTCACAAATCGTGTGGGCTACATGTGGTTTTATAGTTTTAAGAAACCCAAATAGTTCAAATATGTTTTAGACCTTTGTGTATGTATGTATGCATCAGTTTCTTCCATACATATGATTTTCACTCAGTACTCTATTTGTTTCAAGAGTTACCCTTAAAAGAATCCCTTTGTATTTTATTTATAAAGGTATATACATATATATATATTTTTCTCTTTGTTATGATGTAAATAAAAAATAAAATATATGAAGTTATTTGTTTTGGAACATATGTATATGTAGTTTAATTTTCATTTACAACTTGCCAACTTGGGATGGACTGTGTTGCATTCAAGCATCTCTCTCGTGTTCGAAAATAAACTCTAAAATTTTGTTTTAACCAGAATACAAAAAATATATATAATTGTAAGCCAATAATTGTTTTTGTTTGCGTTCCTCATTACAACTTCTAAATAATATGTTACAAAAACGTCACGTCATCTTTTGGACCATTATTACAGTATAACTGATGAAAATTAAATATAAAGTTAAAAATAGGCTTATATTAGAGTATATTAGAAAAAAAAATCAGCAAGCTTATGATTCGATTAAGACTCGTATTCAAACCATCTCGTGTTTTCCTCACCAAACCCATTTAGTAAGCTCCTCTCTCTCAATTTTTTTTTCTTCTTGTTTCTGTTTCCATTCTTCCAACTAGGCCACGCATCCTCAAGTATTTGTAAGACTGTTTGCAAATATTTTATATAATCGTTTGCTAGGGACTATAGAGTAGATACACTATATTGTAACTTTTTCATCAAACTCAAACTAATATCGATCATTTACTATATCATGAGATAGAGAATGTGTTGGTCAAATACATGCCACAAGAAGAATTATATTTTGTCATGACATTGACCTCTATGTGTTCTTTTTTTCTTCACAAATCTTCGAAATCGAATTGTGGTTCAAAACGGCTTCGTTTATTTCCTTCTGAATAATGATTGTTTATTTATTTTGTCTATAACAAATACAGTATTAGTTACTCCAATCAAAACATATGCTCACTTGTCTAGACTTCGGGTCGAGGAGGACATACTGACCGTGTGTGAAATTATATATGTATATATTATCTGTAAAATAAAACGAGTATCAGTCAAAGCATTGACCGTGTGTGATTACATTTGCAATTACATCAGATTAAATTGCAAGAAAAAAAGTTTAAAGACAAAAAACTTAATACAGTACGTACGACCTTATATATATCTTACGGTCTGAATGGGGCTTAACGATGCATGCAATGCATCACTAGACACCATTTTATTTATTTCATACAGCACATATATATCGTTGCATGTACACACAGATTTAATTACAGACTTTAGATTGTTTAGTTGATCAAGGAAAGTTCCACAAGTAATCGTCTCCTCCAGTGAAACCATCAACGTCGTAGTAAGTAGTATCAAAGGCAGGAGGACGAGGCGGGCTAAGAAGCATTCCTTCAGCCATATTCATGAGCACATTAGGCATGTCGAATACCAAATCATCGTCCATGAACTCATTCATATTTGTATGCTCATAACTAGCATTCATGCTGGCCACACCGCTTGTTTCGCTGTTATGATTGGCCATAACAATCGCATCCCTAGCAGCACCAAAAGCAGCGGCGGCTGAAGCGGCTGCTGCTTGGATGTCACCTGGAGACATGGAGGCTGGGACAGGCAAAGAGGAAACCGAGTTTGGGAAGTTGAGCTCAGCTTGAGTGCCTTTGAGGGCTAGAGCTGCCACGTCATAGGCTATTGCCGCCATCTCGGGAGTGGAGAATGTTCCTAACCAGATACGGTTAGGTTTTCTTGGCTCACGGATCTCAGAAACCCATTTGTCTGAGTTCCTACGTTGTCTCACTCCCTTGTACAAAGGGTGGCGGCCACCATTGTCTTTGGAGGTTCCTTGCATATTTGATGATGATAATTAGGGTTTTGAGGAGGGATGAGGGTGATGAGTTTGAGGAAGGAGTGGAAGAAGTCGAAGCCATTTTATGGGGGCAGTTAAGTTAGTTGAAGAGTGAAGTGGAGAAGAGAGTGAGGAGTGAAGAAAGTGCAAACCAGTTAGGGATAAAGAGAATAGGGTTTGGGAGAGATTGATCACAGCTTGGAGATGATGAAGTTAAAGCTGTAAAGACAGCTTTTTAATTGCTCCTCTTGTTGGATATCGCGTTTTTTTGGGTGGTGGCCAATTAAGTCGCAAATGTATTATATGTTTTTGTCTAAAGTGGTCGTTTTCGCCATTACAGGTTCATGAATATTTATGTTTCCTCATGATCTTGACATCACTTTATTGAAAACTTTTTTTTCATTTATATAAATTAGCTACTTAATTTGTGATATTTTTATATGGTGAAAGTGTGAATCTAAATTGTATAATTCATAATATCATCCATCTATGTATTTAGCTATATACTTATACATATTACTCCATATCCCTGGTATAATGACTTCTTACATTGCCATGATCAGAATTTAATGTATATATAAATACGCATTTCCTATATATTGCTTACTTTGGGGTTAATGGTTATTTCTGAACAGAAATGAATAATAGAGTTGACTTGGTGAAGTATATAATAATCACATTCCAAAAGTATCTTAGAAATGCTAAGAAGAGCTTAATTAGTGTGTGAGAACTTAGTGTGTGTGATTGCTGTTTGGGTCAATTTCGTTGAGGCTTTATCACTCCACTAAACATTAATAAATATTATATATTGTAATAGATTATTTTTTCTCACTAAAAAACTTGTCAAATCGGTTTAAGGTAAGAAATCCATTTCACAATCTCGATATACCGTGGAATTTTGTTGCAATCAACTATATATATATAAAATTTCACCAAATTAAATCAAAGTTTCTCGATCACGTACACTATTGGTGTGTGCCGGCTGTCAAATATCATCTACGTGAAAATCTATGACATCCGATCCGAGTCGATATATATAAGTGGTTGCACACCGATAATCTAATGTTTTGATCGTATTTGCAAATGCTAAATTTATCATTCCTAACGATGTCACTAAACAAACAGGCCTGTTGTAACTATTGGTCCAATCTGGTTTTGGCTAAGTAGCTTCTCTTTTGTTTGCCTTTCAACAATATATGTTTGTATATACAAATGCCATGTTTGTTGACGACATGGAAAGTGTAGAACGCCATAATGGTAAGAAAATATCTAAATGTTTTCTAACAAAGGCTACATGTATCCAATCAAATTATCTTGTAAGAGATTTTTGCATTAGATCTTAATTGTTATGCTACAAACTCTTAAGGTAGAATGTTCATATTGTTAAAGCATTCGGGCAAATAGTGGTCATACCAAAAGATTCCAGTTTACAGGTTTGCAAGTTGCTCGATCAGAATCTATTCAGCCGACACAAAAAAAAAAAAAAGATAACACAGGAGTTTGTGTAGCTAAAATATACATTAATTGGTTAATATTGTTGAAATGTGTTAAGAATGGCGGGTGACCTGTTGTAGCAGAGACCTTGACATGTCAACTACTTGTGATATGTTACGTACTCATGCCATGCCCTTAAACTTTGGTTGATATAGTTTAGTTTTCAAGATTTAGAAATCCCAACAAGAGAAAAAATATATTATAAAGTTTCATAAGAAACAGAGACCTCAGATAACAAGCTTAAGTAGGGTTCTTTTTATATCACTCTTCTAAACATAGCAGTAAACAGGAACACTAACGATGACATGAAAACAACGATCCTTAAAAGACTCTTCATTCAGTACTTGTAATCTTTAACGTGAAGGCTCTCTGCTGCACCTTCACCGAGCTTAGCATCACCTTTGTACGCACCAAGTGTGGCCTCAGAGTTAGCCTTGCATCTAACCAAGAACGCTTCTTGTGCCTTTTTCACATTCTCCTCTTTTCCTCCCCAAGTCTTCAGTGTGCTCTGCTGCAACGCCCTTCCAAACGAAAAGGACAGAGACCAGGGCTTCTTTGTCTTCAACTGGTTCATTGCGTTCAGGTTCCTTGTCGCTTCTTCCTCGCTCTGTCCACCGGACAAGAACACTATGGCTGGCACCGCTGCTGGCACAGTCCTCTGAAGGGCACGGACAGTGTGCTCTGCAATCACCTCTGGAGCAACCTTGGCACTCTCTGATCCTGGAGTCACCATGTTTGGTTTCAAGAGTGTTCCTTCAAGCAAGACATGGTGATCACTCAGGGCCTTGTAGCAAGCCGCAAGAACACGCTCAGTCACTGCTGCACACTTGTGGATGTCATGAGAGCCGTCAACAAGAATCTCAGGCTCCACGATCGGCACAAGACCGTTCTCCTGGCAAATGACAGCGTACCTAGCCAATCCATAAGCGTTCTCATGGATAGCTAACTCAGAGGGCTCATTCTTACCAATCTTAAGCACGGCACGCCACTTAGCAAAACGAGCACCAGCCTCGTAATACTTCTTGCAACGCTCACCAAGACCATCAAGACCCTGCGTAGTCGTCTCACCATTGGTCCCAGCAAGCTCAACGGTACCCTTGTCAACCTTAATACCAGGCAAAACTCCTGCACTCTTCAACATCTCAACAAAAGGAGTACCTGCATCACAATCAAATCAACCACAATTAAGAAACAATAACACAATAAGAGACTCACAGATTCATCAGCACACAGAAATAGAATGAGAGTACCATTAGAGCTCTTCTGGTAGAGGGTTTCTTCAAAGAGGATAACACCACTGAGGCAAGGAAGAGCTCCAGGAGTAGTGAAGAGAAGCTCACGAAGAGCACGTCTGTTGGATTCAACGTTCTCAACATTGATGCTAGCGAGACGTTTCCCAATGGTACCAGTTGACTCATCTGCGGCAAGGATACCTTTCCCAGGTGTGCCGATGTAAGCAGCGTTAGCAATCAGCTCATCTGCAAAAAAAAAAAAGAGCCAAGACTCAACAAATTCAATCAAATCCAACTTTGCATATTCAGATCGCTTAAAACAAACTTACGAGTTTTAAGATTACGAACAAAACTCATAAACCTCAAAAACGTTAAACCCTAAGCCCCTAAAAAAACCACACCAACGACTGAATATTTCACTCTGATGTGCGTAATCGGATAACTATGGAATATCGCATGTATAGATCTGAACTACTTTTTGAACAGAATCCAGAAATTACAAACAAAACGAAGGATCAAAAACAAAATGAATCAATTTGAGCTGATAAAACAGAGTACACCGAGAGAGAGAGAGAGATGAAGAGTTAGTTACCGGCGAATTTGGTGGTGAAGCAAGACATGGTCGTAGAATCGAAACGATGAAGAGAAGTGGATAAAGAGAGAAATTGAGGATGATGATGATGATGATGATGATGATGATGATCGGGATGATGAGTTTATTAATAATATAGGGATGGAGTGATGATGGTAAGTAATGGTTCCTTCCAGAAGAATATTTTGGCCACTTCTCCAAGGTAAAGGTTTTAACCGCCGTTGATTTGTTAACAAGTTGTTTCTATGGGCGGTTTTTACCACTTTCCTTAGTTACTGTTTTAACTCTTTATTATCACTTTATCAGTAACTTCTACGACCTTCTTCTATTTTAAAGGCCTCATTACGGCCCAATAATACTCTGATTTCAGTCATTTCCATTTTACGAAATGAATATATAAATAGGTTTTTAGAAACTAGTGAATAGATTTTGACATGATATTAGATCTTGGGACAAAAATATAGATTTGATATTTATGTGATTAGTAAGTCTGACAATTATAATTTTGAGAATTTAGTTTTTATTCTGAATATGTTTTTTCTTGTTTTCTACCCATTTTTCAGTTTCCATTTTCTTTCTATAGTTTTGTTTTTGTTTCAGTGTCCTTTCCATTTCTGTTATTTTGGATATGTCGAAAAAATCACAGTCATAAAACAAAAATTGATAAATTTAGGAGATATTATTATTAGGCTATCAAATTAGGTATATTTATTTCTTTATATATATACATTCATCTTATTCAACGGTTAAGAATACAATTTTTTTAGTTTTGATGACGTGATAGTGAAGGCAAGGAAACCAATACGATGTCAAAAATCAGCTCATAGATTGTGACAATTCTATATTTAGATCAGTCTTTTTCTTAATTTTCCAATGAAAAAAAAGGAAAAGAGGAATTTATTACATGTATCACATTAAATTAAATGGAAGATTCATGAGAACCTTGAGTCGTGTCGTCGTAAAAAAAAAAGAAGCAAACTAAAAAGAAAGAAAAAAGTATCAACAACATGTAACATTTGTTGTCGTTTGGGCAAATGTAGTAATGTTTGAGCAGCATGGGCTCAGATTCAAAAATTTGGAGTTTACAAATGTTAAATTCTGCTATTCTACAAGTTTAATATATGAAATCAATAAAATTGGTTTTTGTTATGAATAATAATGGGTCTACTTTATCAAAACCAATAGCATTTGACAAAACTTGGTTGAGAGAAAGTGATCATTGTCGTTGTCGGAGATAAGTTTTCCGGCGACTCCACGGTGCCGGGATTACATGAAAAAGAATTATGGAACTCAAAGCCAAACTTACGTTTGTCCTAAACAGCAAGAACAATCTAAAATTCAGACATCAGAAAAACTTAGAAAATAACAAAGTTAAAATTAGACAAGGAAAGAGTTACGTTAGACTATTTTTTTTTCTTCATTTTTTAGAGGCACAGATGATAAGAGAAAAAGTATGTTTCTCATCTATTGATCCGATCTTCTTCTTCATCTTACTCTCTTCTTCATCTTCATCTATCCAAAGTCTACTATCCAAACCACTCCTCCTCCTAAACATAAACACAGCGCACGGAGGAGACGACGAGGAGCTCGAAGAAGACGATGACGACGACGCCGTTTTTGACGACGAGCTGGTGGAAGAAGACGGCGCCGTTTCTTTGTAGAACCAGTCGTGTAAATCCCACATCATATCTATAAGCATTCCATCGAAGAACATGGTTTGGTTCCCTCTAAAGTTCCATTTGAGCTTCTTCACCGCAAACACTTTCCTCTTATCCACATAAACCGACATCGTTTCGGGGCTTTTTAGTTTCCATAAATACCCTTCTTCTCCCACTCCTCCTCCTCCTCCTCCGCCGCCGCCGCCGCATTGAATCTGAATCTCGTGTTTTGTTCCGACGTCGGAGAATTGAGCTTTCGTCGTGAGCCAGCAAGTTCCAGAGAATCTCTCTGTTCTTGATACTCGCCACGAAGACGGTGACGTGTCTCTTTCGTGGTGGTCAACGTCGCCGATTCGGAGGGTGACATCGGAATTAACAACGACGACGACGAAGAATCTCCCGGTTGGTTCAGGTCCGGTGTTATCGTACTCTGCTTCAGATAGATCCCAAAAGATCTCGGCGTTGAGTGAACCGGAAGAAGAAGTCACCTTTCTCGATCCTTTAGGTTTCCTGAGTGAAACAGAGTACGACTTCGGCGGCGTTGAGATAACGACGGTGAGGTTATCCGACCAGGTAAGCGCAACAGAGACGGGTTTGTCGGAAGAAGAGAGATTGGATTTATAAGTGGTGGTAACCGTGTCCGGGATTGAAGGAGGTAATGTCGGAGATAGGTATGAATGATTCGAAGGGCCTGAGCAGTAGGCATCTGATACTTTAATGGCGTGTTCACTGTAACAAGCCGCAAGGCCTCTCATCTGAAAAGGGTGGTTATGTTTTTCCCGGGAAAGTTAGAAAGGAAGAAACTTTAAAGAGTAAAATGGGAGAAACTGAAGAAAGAAGAAAGATTTGAATTTCGTGTATGGATGCTATACGTGTGAATAAAGAGAGATACTTGGAACCTTTTTGCGGGTTTTAGAGGCAGAGACAAAGTTTCTTTTTCTTTTTATTTTTAAAAGAAAAGAGAGATAAAGGTTTTGTGTGGCAAAAGGAGCAAATGAAGTTTAGAGATTCTGTGTGTCTTGGGAGATTATAGAAACGGACGTGGAAGAAGAGAGATGTGACAGAGAGATCTTCTTCTTCTTCTTCTTTTTTAATATCGGGAAACTCAAAAAGTAAAAGAAGTGTTTTTAAGAAGTTTAGTGGTACGGATGTTGCAGAGAAGAAAGAAAGAAACGAAAGAGATGAATTGTTCTTCTTTGTGTTTTGGTGTGTTTCATTCGGCCATGTGAAGATGTCTCTCTTCTGACTTTTATTTTTGTGAGAGTTTCGTCTGCGTCTGTTTTTCTTAATGTATAAATTCTTACTCCAGTTGAGTATTAAAAATTAGCAAACAAATCCATCATTAAATGTAAGTTGGATATGGGGGCAAAAAAATATATATATGTTAAGCTTAACGACAAGAGAGATCGAGAGAGAAACGAAAATTTAGATATTTTAACAACAAGTTCTTTGCATTATCATCTATCGACGTGTATGAATTTTAATCTCTTTTGCTTTTCCCCCCTTTATATTTTATTTCCTCGTACAATGCTTTGCTAATTTTTATCAAATATGAATTATCCAGTTTTCTAGAATGTGCTGATCAATACTAACTAGTAATTATGGTAAGAGTTTTATTAGCTTCACATGGATTGTCTAATGTGCTTTATATATTACTACTATTGTTGAATTTCTTAACATTTTTATTTCAAATGTGGAGTTCCTGACATATTTTTTTCTACTTACAAATCTATTTGAATTGATTCTCATTTATTGGAACAAGGTCTAAGAAGGTTTATGAGTTTTCAGTTAAAATCGACTGCAAGTGGAAAAATTCTGGTTAAAGTCGTTAAAAAGAACGAGCGACTTTATATAAACCCAAGGAACGGATCATATAAATACAGTAGATAGAACTCTTCCAATTTGTATTTTAAATAAATTGCCGCTGCTTTTATTCCACGATTGATATCATTAGTTTATAATCATTATACATAACTATAGTATTATTCAAAGAAAACATAATAAAATATATCTTGTTGCAAACTAACAAACAAACAAAGCAAATTAAATAATAGTTTGACCTGATTTTTTATATATATATACAGAAACAGCATAGGTTGTTGCAATAAGATGTGTGTATTTGGTATTTTATATTCGTTAACTTAGGAAAATACAAAACTTAGGAAAATACAAAATAGTATTCCAATGAGATATCTTCGAAAGTTGTATTGATTAATTTATGCAGTCGTGCAAAATAGAACACGAGAGAGGAAAAGACTCAATCGTCGTCACTTGGATTGAGTCTTTTCTAAGTGTTACACTTATACAATTTTGAGAAATGGCATCATGAGTCATCAAAGACGCATGAAAACAGATCCGAGTCTATTCTTTATTTTTGTTTTTTTAGAAAAACATACAATTGGATAAGCTCATTAAAGCTTGCTAAGTCAATCATCTTACCTACAACAATATATACTTAATTTATAGTTTTATCAAAAACAGGGTTGATGTGATTCATGACTGAGTTAAGCACATGTTTGGAAGACTCACCCCGTTCATTGAAACTTTTCATGGTCGGAGAAGTTTGGTCGATCGTGATAATGGTGGGTTTATATGCCTTACTTTAACATTAATTAGTTAGGTAAATGACTTAAACAAATTTTGATTAGATAAATGAAATGTAAATGAGCAAACTTTTAGATTTGTAAATGAACACCCTTGAAGAGTATTACATTCGAGAAAAGAGGGTTTCATAGCTACCTACTCACATATGTTGACCATTTGGTCCATTTCCGTTGGTAACAAACAAAGCCGTTCTCAAACGTTTGCATATATACCAAACAATCAAACCCTTGGCTTTATCCTCAACAAAATTGAACAGAGAAAAATAATAAGAAAAAGGAAGAAGCCTGTCCGATTCCACCATTAATTTTGATAACTCTCATTCACGTGAAAATTGAGTTTTCCTAAAAGGACGGAACAGCGAAGAAACAGAGAGAGAGCTTCCTCTGCTTTTTTTCTTAGCTCTCTTCTTCCCACCTACACTACATTACAAACTCTAATTAACTCTCACAACTTTTCCATTTCTCTCTCCAATAAATGTTAATTTGCTCTTTTCCCCAATCTGCAAGCAAGTAAAGGGCTTACGATAATAAAAAAAGGTAACTTCAATTCTATGAGGATTCACATGATTACCACAACTACACTCAAAATGAGACTGATATGACAATATTAATCTTTCAAACAGAAATAGTAATTGCCAAGGGAAGTACATATATGGTCATGGGTTTTTGCTTTGGATGTTCATGATACGTTACCCTGAAAAATCTGTGTGTTTCATAAGAAACCTGCATATTCTTTTGTGACACACGAAAGAAAGGCATAGAATATGGGAATGTGAAAGTGCAATATTTTGTAAAGGCCTCTTTGCTCTTTTTTGTATTTGTATACGATGAAAGTGGAGAGAGACAAATAAGAAAATATTAAAATAAAAATACTGCACATCTTTTTTTCCTTAACTCAAAACCTTGACACTTTTCTACAAAACTAGCATCGTGAGGAACTCAGAGGAATCACAAACCTGTTTCCTCTGTCATGCCACTGCTTACTCCAGCATACGTCTTCATATGCAGGCTACTCAACAGTTTCCTGGCAGAGTGGAACCAAACATGAAACGTAAAGATGAATTCATGTAGGTTTAGATTACGAAAGTTTGAGAACAGAGAGCGCTAGGACGCAGATTTAGTCGAGCTACAAGTTACCTGCTTGATTGAATTTCCAACTTCCAAGCTCTGCAATGAACTAGTGGTCAAACAACGCGCATGAACGATAGGACCATTAGCCTCACTGTTGGCTGGAGGATTCGTCAAGTAAGAAGATCCCTTGAATATCCATTGATCCATTTCTTGACTGTAATAATCCTCAAATAATTCTCCACATAATATACATGCGCATTGGGTCTCATCAGCAGGTACGGCTGGACCATCCTCAATAGCACTCTCAGGTTCATTAAGAGCTTCATCATATTCAGGTTCTAACTCTCCAGATTTTGCTGCTATCCAGTCATCGACTTTAGGAAACCAAACCCTACATTTACTCTTTGCGCCACTGAGCTCGAGCTTCTTCTTTTCATGCAGTTCCAGGTGTCTATCAAGTTCATCCTTTTGTTTAAGTCGAACGCCGCAGGAGGTGCAGAGATGTGGAAGATCATCAAAGAGACTACTAATGACCGATGGGTGAACTTCACGGATTTTGTCTGCCCTGAACTTCAATCCTATGAGGTCTTGGGGATCAGTTTTTGATGTTTCAGATGGTGCATCTAACCCTTTTACCTTTGGGGCAGTGGATGGCCCTTTTTTAACCAAAACGGATGGCTGACCATCTGATGGAACCACAGATACAGATATAGAGCTATTGGTGGAATGATCAGGACTATGGTCCTTCGTTATGGAAGTGGCCGATGGAAGCTCTGTCTTTGAAGCAGATATCAGACCCTTTAGAACTAAGGAGCTCAAGAGGCATGAAAGAGGATCTGAGGCCTTACTATTCACTTTTGACGTTTGTACCGATGTTCCGCTAGCAAGAGACGCTGCACATGAGACAAGTGGTGCAGAGGATTGTTCAACTTTTAAACAAGCTAATAAATTGTCACCAGCCACTGAAATTGGCAATGCTGGTGGCAAAGTCTTAGAATTAGAGGCTGCCGGCAGGGCTATTATCCCTGGGTTAACCTCATCCTGAGAACTCTCTTTGATCGCACTACATGTTGAATTATTAGAAAGGATTCCACTCTTCATGACAGCTTCCAGCAAATCACTCATGTTGGGTTGTCCTGTAGCTTCTGAGGCAATAGTAAGGTCGGGCGCATTGTCAGTTGCTGACTTAGAGTCAAAGATTTCCACTTGAGATGCATCAGGTAATTCACGCATATTTGTGTTTTTAAACTGAGTACTTGAAGATGGGAGCCGTACAGAGTCATCCCTGGGGACATTTTGAGATTTTGCTGGAAAGCGGGAAGCCCTAGGATCACGTTGAGGAAGGGAGTGAGCTCTTCTAAAATCTTGCTTGGCCAAATTCTGTTTAGAAGTTGAATCATGTAAAGGCAACTGTCTATCTGACCCAGATCCTAAGCTTGGCAAAATTCCAGAGCCAACAACCCTAGGTTGAGGCTGAGTTCCCTTTCTAGCTGCAGTAGGGTTTGCATTAATAGAAGAAAAAACTTCTGAATCATGCAAAGATCTTGGAGACGTCGTCCAGTGGCCAAAAATACTTGAATCTTTTTGTTCGCTGGAATATGAATTTGTTGAATTCACTGAGTCAAACCTAGGGTCCAGAGCTGAAAACCTTGGTCGTTTTAAAAGGTGGTTTTCTGACTCCTACAAGATGGGAGAAGGTTAAATGCCAACAAATTAAATCAGCTGCATTACAATAAAAAAGAAACTGAAATTATCTTTCACACTTACCAGTCTCTCTGATTCATCTGGTGCATGAAGCTCATTCTTTGGGTTGATAGTGGCTACATCAGTTTCTGTTAACCTTGAGTGCATGTCCCACATAAACTCTTCTTCCTCAGAGTTTTTCCAACTATCATAAGGTACACCTATATTTCTACTTGGACCACTTGATTCCAAATTTTCTAGTCTCGCTGTACCATAGTTGGAAGTTCTGCTTTTGGTTAGTAACCCATCCCTTTGGTCAGAAATCAGATCAGGACCCCTGGTCATAGCTCCGTACCATTGTTTCTCACATCCCTCATCAGTAACCCTTGAACCAACTTTCTTAATCACCGGTCTAGAGTTATGAGGTAGATCAGAAGCATAATCATATTCCCCTGCTATTGACTCGATATCTTTCTCGTAGAGGGGTTCGCTAAGTGAATCTCTTTGAGGTCGCCGAATGGTCTGAAGTTTCGACACACAATCAGTAGACCACACTTGAGTAAAAAAACTGTAACCATACCAAGGAAAAATCATCTTACATTTACTTTAGCTGAACCTACCCACGAGACTCCAGATGCTATGCTTGAAACTCTCTCCAGTCTATCTGAATCCCTAGTCAAATTGGGTGCGATCTCAGGGACATCAGTAACCATTCCTTTTGTCTGCAAAGAAAACCAAAAAAATACTCAGGGCACTTTTATTTAAGTCAGTATGTAGCCTCTACTTATATCAAGTGACCTAAGGACCCTTTCAAAGATTTAATTGCGTCCATAAAGAGTTATACTGCTATCTTACAACCAATAAACATGTACCCTACATTTATGAACACACTTAGAACAGAGAGATCTCTAGCAGTCCTGAAGGTTAGGGTGTATCATCACTAAAATTTCAGTGGTAGCAAGTTAAATTTGGTCTTTGCTTACCCGTCCAGACTGTTGAAGGCGCTGCCTTTCCAGATATTTGGGATTCACATGGATGCTATGTGGCGGGCGCTGAGATTGTGGATCAGCTCTGGCTGTGGATACAATAGCTGCTGAAGCATCACTTTTAGCATTAAAGCCAAGTTCTTTCTCAATAAGTTGCAGTGTTTGCGGATGAAAGACTCCTTTCCAGGTTCCAAAGAGATGCCGCATGTTAGAATGCATAGGAGGGTCAACTTGCCTGTAAGCCTTAACAAATACCTTCATAGAAGTAAAAAGAGAGAGGTCAGAGATAAAGTTACTAGGAAAAAGACATTCTATGACCACGAGTATCAACAGGGCACCAAACCTCAGGCAGCTTGGCACCAAAGTACTTAATGTAATCCCTTCCAATGTTCTTCACAATGCTGTCTAACAGGTACAGTGTTGGCAGCTTCTGATCACTTGGTACCTGCATGATATTCTTCAAATCAGATACCCAGACGAAAAAGGCCAATTCGATCTCATAGCGAGTAACATTGACTATTTCCACACTTGAGGGGTCTCTAAAGGTAACAAATAAATTTCAATAACTTGATGTTAACCTAGAATCAAAAGCACAAACCATGATGACATTCAAGCTAATATTAACATATATCCTGACAACTAGGCATCTATTAATAGTCACATATAATCATTAGATGATGTTTATGACATCTACAATCCCATAAAAGGCAGTGTGGCAAGCTGAGATGAGAAACAGTAAAATAGCAACTCTTGTTTCCCCATCGACTTGATTGATTAGGCTCCTTCAACTGAATGCTTCCTTGCTAACCAATGTTGAGCAAAAGCTGTTTTAGCTTTCTGGAGAGCATGTGGTAAGCAGGAAGCCACCAACAGAAAATCCAACTTCACTAAAAACAGAGCTAATAAGAGCTCTTGCCAAAAGGTAAACTGAGATACAAACAAGTCCAACGCTGACAAAGAGACCAACACTCCTATAACCTAACCTCAGTACAATCACATGAGGAGCTGGAAATATGCATTCCTGATAAATGAACAAGAACAAAATGGTTGCACAGGCAGCATCTATTTTTGATATAGTTAACAACATAGTGTAGGGAAACAGATGCCTGTTTCAAGTGACAATTTTCCAGAATGGGATAAACAAGAGGATATAGACTATGAACTTCCTTTCAAAAGAAATGATTTGCGACTTGATGAGAAATTTAAAACACATAAATCCCAGATTTCAGATACTAAGGTGTTGCTTCAAAAACTCGAATTTCTCATTGAACCTCGAATACAGATATCACAAATCTCAACCACCACCTTCACCTTATTTTCCATATATTGTACAAATTACTCAAACAAGAAATTCGAGAATGGAGCAAGGAGTATAACGACAACTATAACAGTGGGCATGAAAACTGGGTGTTCACCTCGAGGATGTTGTTGCAAATGGTGGCTACGACAGCTTTAGCAGCGTGGACATTCTCTCCAGCAATTATCGTAAGGTTTGTTATTATTGGCTTCGAGTTGAAAGTGAGCTCGGCCAGTGCCGACTTGTACTGGTTCACAAGCTCGTAATGTGGATGAACCGGCTGTGGCTGGTAAGCCTCTCGGCTCGGATCACTGACAATATTACTCTCCGTTTCTCTGCCACTAACTCGAAATCTCGACGCCGCCGGTGGTACTGTCACCGCCGCCGCCGTACCAAGCGTTCTCTGCGATGAAAACTGCCGCAAGTTGGAATTTACAGGTCGGATTGGTTCCTCGCTGAGCCTGGGTTTCTTCATCGGACCTGGATCTCTGGATCTATCAAACGGTCTACGCGAATTCTCCATTTTAAAGAACTATACAAAACAAAAATGCCTTAAAATTAACCTAATCGCCAAAATCGATTGCAGTGACAACAAATCCTCGTTAGAGGGAACCAAAGCATTACAGCAATCAGTAACCCTAAGTTACAATCTACGACTGAGATGCATAACGTGAATCTGCGAAGAAGACGGAGAAGATAGAAGGAATGCTTCGGATTCGGCAAAAATGGCAGAGAGTTTGGACAATCTCCGATCAATTAGGGCTGCGAATTGGGGATTTTAAGGAGACGAGACCAAAAAGAAAAAATAAAGTTAAAGATCGGAACTAGCACCAATAATATTAGGCCTATTTAAAGGCCCAATAAGAGGCCCATCATCTAGATTAGTCAAAAGTGTTTAAGGAAGTGCGTGACTAATAATTCGGTCTGGTTAGACCATCTGATTAAAACCAAACTAACCGAGATCATATATCGAACCAAATCTTGAATTGGGTAACCAAAAGCTAAACCGTCAACAAGGAAATAATCAAATAACAATGCAAAACGTAACAGAAACCAAATAATACTAGTACATGTGTTTCTTGTGTTGTGACTCGTTTATGACACAAACGAAGAGTCAAAAACGAAATAAAATGTGTTACAACTAGGACTGTTAGCTCTATGTATCACTTTTTACATTGGCTAGTGTTGCAGTGGTCATGATGTTTAGTTCGAAAGAAGTCAACACAAAATGGGATTTGTTAATCTGAGGAGGAAACCAAAACGTATTGACTTCTTCTATTTCGTTGATACCCTCAAAGGACACTGGAACAAGGAACAAAGAATACTATCTCTTGTTTTATTAATTCAACTAAAATCAATGAAGATTGCAAACAATGATAACACCAATCTATTCTAGTCATTATCAAATATGTGATGGCTGGCTCATGAGATGATGTTGGCGGTTCCGTTGCATCAGCTAGTTTTGTACAGTTTGCTATTTCTAACCCATAAGTCATATTTATGTGCTTTGCCTACACAGCACTCTGATTAGGCGGGTTAGCCCGTGACTTCATTTTGCTTACCGGGAAGTGCAATCTGGCAATCAAAGGTTTTGGTCCTCTTGTCTTGCGTTCAAATCCACGCACACATACATACCCTACAGAGTTTTTTTCATAAAGAGTTATGTTTCAGAAAACCAGAAATTGCCATAGCTTAAACAAAAATGTTGTGACACTACCTCTCCAAAAGCATTGTTGAATTGTTTCTGTAGGTAAACCTGACAAAATAGCTACGTGGTTAGAACAATTTTCTTTTATATGAACAATAGCATCATATTCTAATAATGTTAATCTTATTACCTTTGAATATCGTAGGTATAGAAGTTCCAAAGTAGACTGTTCGTCGAGGTAAGTCCCATAACCATTCCCTTGGAACATCGATTGGGTTTAGGCTGGATGCATGATCCGCAAACACCTGCACTAATGGAATTCATCAGAAGTTCCAATGCAAATAATTAAATGAAAGAGTTAGATATATTTGAGCTAAGTCTGACCTCATTGACTTGGAAGTAGGTTCCATTGAGAGGGAAGCTACCCCTCATTGCGGTTCTACATGGTATCTACATATATTTATAACATATTATTTTGTAGAAACATAGAGTAGTTACTAGTTAGTGGCAAAGGAGTTTCACGCATGACTTACCAAGATTGTCCCTCTCACTGTCTGAGATCTTGCCTCCTTGATGTTATTGCATGAGAAACAAGTCTCCTCATCACAAAGCTTACCATTTGCTTGGGATATACACTTACTTACAGCTGGTTGAATGGAATCCGCCGTCTCACCTGTTTAAAAGCATAGCGATTCAGAAACCTTTTTATCGATCTCATTTCATGATTAAAAGATTTGCAGATCACTAAGTAATTGCTAGATCACCTGGCGTCCAAATAGCTAGCAAATAAGAACATGGATCATCAGGTTCCCTCTTCTCCAACTGTCACCAAGACAAACAAACTCGTCAGATTCTAGATATTAACAGACTATAGCATGTGTCCGTGTCTAGTTACTTGACATACCTCAACTAGAAGAGGATGTGAGTCTGGAATTTCATAACTGCAAGATACAGGAAACGAAAACAGAACCAAGTTATAAACAAGTTAAGCTGAAGTTTGTCTGCTTCCAAAAGCTTGGTCTGCCACTTAATAATTTACTGAATCAAAGTTTTACTGTGTATCCGAATGTATTTCTCATTTCATTTAAACCTAAGACACGATGAACAACAGAGAAATATGGATACGTACACTTGATGTTCCGTCCTTAACCGGCTGATGTTCTTGAGCTTCGGCATTGGAAGGGAAGCAGCTTCAGCAGTAAGTGCAACCAAAGCGGTGGATATGTTTCCAACTTGTAATTCTTTATTGTGTTCCATTATTTTCTTCAAGTTACTGGTTAATGCATCCGTGTTTAGCCTGATTGTAGGAATTTCTTCCGGATCCTCAAAAAATGCATCTTCTATGTCAGCTATTGATACTTGTGCGCTTTCTGGCTCTGGTGATGCTGGCTCTTCGATTATTGGTTCACAAAATTTGACCTTCTTTACCGGTTCTGAGTGCTTTACTACTTCTGACCCTTGCTCTCTATGCAATGGTTCTGGTAGGTGCAGAGGCAAAGGGTTTTTATCAGGTGTCCCCATACCTTTCTCTGTACCAGGTAAAGCAAGCCTTGCGCTGGAAAACAAATGAAGGTTACGAAAAAGTTTCTGTACCAATTCAGAGCTAGTTTTAGATACGGATCACTTCTCATTTACTGGAGTAAGACATTAGTTGAATGATGGATTTCGTCATAATGTTACTAAAGATTTAAAAGAACATATTGTAGTACCTTGCAAACGCACTGGCAAAATGTCTGCATTCTCCTCTCATTGGACATGCATTACAATTAGGTTTGCTCTTTGTGCAAAACACCTGAAATGATTATCAGGTAGATTAATAAAACCTCATCATGTTACATAGATATGTGTATGATGTTTTATACCTTTCCGAAGGTAATCATCTGGTAGTGCAACTCGTACCTGTGTCAGATAATACAGCATTAGTCTAATGAATGGGTCTGCTAGAATTAGGTACGAAAAAGTTTGTAAGATAGTGCTAAACTGGATGAGGTCTTACAATGTTTTTTGGTCGAGTTTGCAGAGACGTGGCCAAAGATACTTTTGAATAGATTCAAGAATAGGATACCTGTATATACAAACCCCAAAAGTATAAGTAAAAAAAATACAATTTCCAAGTAGGGCCATTTGTAGAGTGCTTACATTTCTAGAAGATGCAACTGAAGTGACTCTGGGAGTGGCTGAAGGGGTACCCACCCTAGTCTAACAGCTATGCGTGCAACATTCGTATCAACCTGTCAGTGAGTTTTACTTTAGGTTCATACATCATATACTTCACATCACTCAGCAAAAAAGAATGATCCTGAAAGAATGATCTGGCTTACTGGAAACGCAAGATGGTGCAGTGTTAGGAGCCGCACACACTCCACACTTTTTAGGCCCAATCCTCTAAAACTCAGAAGATATTCCCTGCATGATTGTATAGTATATGAGAAATACACAATGCAGTATTAATTTATTGACGCTTAACTGCCTAAATAGTAACTTTTCTATAACGCAGTGAATAAAGAAGGAAATCAAATACTTTTCTTTCAAACTCACTTTGCTTTATCGGGTGGAATGTCTCTCAACCATTCAAGATCGATACTACCGTGTTTGTTGACCAGTCGATCAAGGAAGCCCTGCATTACTTTCATGTTCATGGTCAACTACTTAAAAAGAAGGTTATCAAGAAATTTGGCCACAAGTAGAGATAAAATTGGACCTGTATACGTTCCGCAAGCATATGGTTCATCCCTCGTTTCTTGATTGTTTCGGCAACTTCACTAACATCCGCTGTTCTTATCGCCTCCCAGTCCACTGAGTCCATAGTCCTTGTTGATTTTTTTCTTTTTCCCTCTCTACCTTCTGCTTCTCTTCTTAAACTATCCCAATCAAATGCCTCTTTTTTCTGCTTTTGAACCTTTTTTCCATTTGCATTTAAGGTAACATCATCTATAGGATTGAGCTCTTTGCACGATGAGTCTCGTAGCGGCCTTGAGTAAGGATCTGGTGGTTTTTCTGTGTCTTCGATGACATCAAGACAACTTGTGCTTTCATTAAGATCTGGAATCTGGAAGCTACCTTTGTGTTTTTTCGAACAGCTTTCAGGCATCACAGGTTTTCGACTACTCAAAACATCCCCATCTTGCTGATAGCTACAAGATGGTTCATAACTATCATCGGAAGATTTTGTGGGCCTTTTCAATGATTGGAAGTCAGTAACTTCTGAGAAACAATCACCGGGAGACATATTTGGTGATACTTGAAGGCTACTAGGATTGCTTGAAACCCCAACTTCTTGCCTTGAATTTTCATACTGACTCTTTTGATTGGACTCTTCTAGTGAGACTTGTACGCCCAGTAAGAGCTTCAGATAGGAAGTACGATACTCTCCTTCTAAGTTGATCTCGCTTGATCCTGCTTTCTCTGTATTTTGGGGAGCATCAGAAACCATTGAACGTTGACATGTGAGTGCAGAATCTTCTGATGGAAACAGATTTAGGGTAAGGCACTCCTGATCTATCTTAGCAACCTCTACACTTAAGCCTTTTCGATCTGACTCCACGTACATCTTGGAATATGTGGTTTTGCCATCTGATTCATGGGATGAGCTGGCAAACTCACTACTGCTTCTGGAGGTCTCATTGCTATGTACATAACCATTCTCCTCATCAGGGTCTATGTTTTTTAAGGTAACAGAACTCTGATTGTGATCAGGTGGGCTTGACATCGATTCCTCTGAGTCCAAGTAAGTTATTTGAATAGAAGGCATCGATCTTGTTCCAAAGTCAAAGTTAGTGCTGGTTGCTGCAGGGACGGGAAACTCTGCAGCAAGTGACATGAAAGCAGAACTACAAGGAAGATAAAGTTCAGATGACGAAGTTAGTTTTGTGACTTGTAACTATCTAGGATTTAGTTTCAAGATAGAATTATGCAAGAGATTATACCTTGAAAGATGGTCTGAAACGTTCTGCGTGAGAAACACTCCAACAACAGAATCAACAACGGATCCCTTCCAAGGTGTAAAACGTCGATCCCCTGTTCGAAAAGCGAAGACCATAACAAGAAGTTATAAGTGACGCATATAAATTAGATCACATACTATTTAAAATTTGAAACCATGTGGTTAGAACATAAACCGGCAGAGGACAAGTGTGGTGTATACCTTGTACAAGATGCATCCGTGCTATAAATGAGTCTGCTCGTCCTCGAAACACATTACGTTCTTCCTCCCACCATTTCGCCTTCTGCTCATCTGACCCATCAATACCCTCGCTATTAATATTCTCAAGTAGCAGTTTCCACACTTTTTCTGTCTCATCGTCTAGGTCAACCTTTGGTCGTGGCCGCCGTCTTTTAACAGGAGTTACAGGCACAATTGCTCCACCGCCACCTCGGAAAAGTACAAGCTGGTTTCCTTGGTTTTTCGATGAGTAAGGAACGATAGCAGTTTCACAACTCTCCCTGTTGATATCTAATATACGCAATTGTTCAGTTATTGCTTCGACTAAGTTAGGCTGTTTCCAAAGTTCATCCTGGGAAAGACCTGCAGGAATTAAACATCATCATTATCAACAAATGGTATGCTTTCAGTAGATACAAGAAAACAAAAATATAATTGTGTCATTACCAGAAAATGAAGCTGGAAAGTGGCAGTGACTCGGAAGATGAGTTTTCTGGTTGGCTTGTGATTTCTTAGACTTAGTGATTCGCTTCTTTTTGCTCACGGTCACCCGTTTATCAACAAGAATATTATTATTGTTCTGCTGTGAATTGCTATGATATCCTGAGGGTAACTGCTCAGCAACTTCCATATTTTTATCCATAGATGATAAATTCCGCAATCTTACATGACCTGTAGTTCTTGTCTTCATTGGTGTATCTATCTTATCTGAGAGAACATTGAACTCAAACTGTTGCCTTCCTTGAAAGATACCTTCCCGTTTTTCTTCTATGGTTAGGACTCTATCAGCAATGGGCTGAGATGTGAAACTGTAGCAGTTAGAGTCAAAGGCAGAAACATCCTTATGTTTTTGCCCAGCGAATGATGTGCTGCAAATGGGTTCGGATCTAATCCCTTCCTGTTGCAAGTTTCGGATATACAACCAATGCATATTCTGGTAGTCACATACCTCATCGTACTGAAACCTTGGTGGATTTAAGTCACCAAAAGTTGGTTCTTTTGCTTGTCTTCTCTTTGCAGCTTGTGCCACCGAACGATCAACTCCTTCTTGACTACCGCCATTCTTGTTTGGTTCTGTTCCCTTTCTTTTACATTGGCTACGCTTTCTCTTGGGCGTGCTAGGCGAAGAACGAAGGAAATCTTTTAATTCTTGATTAATGGAACCTAACAGCTTTTCTCTGGGAGCTGATTCTGTCTCATCTTCTTGTTTTGTGTCGCTGTTGGACTGGTTTTCTCCATTTTCAAGTTCAAAATCCAAGACTCGTCTACAGAGCTTCTTAGCATGAGTTAAAGTTTCTACAACTGGTGGTGGTTCAACCGGAGTAGATTCTTGATCCATATTGACTTCCACCTTCTTCCGCACGTATTTCCTCCTCGGTGTTTTGCTTTCTTGACCATGAGCAACAACAGATTTCCTCGGAGTTGGCAGTTTAGGCGCCCGCTTGGGTTTAGCTTCTTTAACAACCTTTGGCCTATGCTTCTTCCTCTTTGGTTTTTCGGGAGTCTTGATGATCTCTTCAGCAACATTGTTGATGATCTCTTCAGCAACATTGTTACTCACTGAGCTCAGAATCTCCACTGCTTCATTACCTTTTTTCATCATCTCTGTATATCCTACATTGAGAATTAGATATTTCTCAGTCAACATAGAAATTTCACAAAGCAAATTCATCTATAATCAGACCAGAATGAGAGGCCCTCTTACTTGTAGTTGTAGGCTCTGAGACCAAATGTGTCTGGCCGGAGAAAGAAACTGATGTAACATTGTTACTCACTGTGCTGAGGCAATTCACTGCTTCATTACGTTGTTGCATTATCTCTGAGTTTCCTACATTTGAAAAGCAGACTTCTCAGTCCAACTTATACAGAATTAAAATCTGACAAAGAAATTTCATCTATGTATTAGACCGGAACCAAATGCCCTCTCACTTGTGGTTTCTAAGGCATTGCTAGCCCAAGGGATGGTCTGACCAGAGCAATAGACGGGTGCATTGTTGGATAGAGCCAGAAAGTCCCCAAAAGACAACTGTTCAAGACCACTCATGTCGAGACTTCTGCAAGCATCACTTCCTTAAGCAAAAACTACCCAACACGAAATCATTAAAATTTCTCAACTTTAAGACAAAAAGGACTTACCTTTGCTCTAACTGATTCCAATGAGCTTGTTCCTCCACTGTGTTTGGGTAAATCGGAGAAATTTCATCACTGATCATCAGACCGGAATCATAAGCTCTTGTTGTTTCTGAGGCATTACTAGCCCAAGAGGTGTGACCGGAGAAATAGTTTGGTCTAGAGGTTGATAGAGCCAATAAATCACCAAAAGACAAGTGATCAAGATTGCCCATGTCGAATCCACTGCATCAATCATCACTTCCTTAAACAATTTACCCAACAATGAACCTTTTGAAAAATTTATCAACTTTAGAAACAAAAACACTCACCTTTCTTCTACTTGCTTCCGAGGAGAACGTTCCTCCACCATACATGGGTAAATCGAATCCATCGGAGACACCATTTTTTATCTCTTCTTCACTCTTCTTCCTTAATCAAAAACCATTTTATCTTCCGCTTTAAATTTCTATCCTTTTCACTGCAAAAATCAAAATCAAATTTTGCAGAGAAATGTCATACATTTGTGAAGAGTAAGAATGTATTGGATCCACATTTTTCTGGGAGGAGGTTTAAAGAGATATCTCCGCAAGTCACTGAAATTGGGTGAGAGCAGTAGCGAACATGAACGATTAATCCGTGAGCTAGAAGAGTGAGTAGAAGAACAAGACTTTTTAACACTCACAACAAACATTTACATTTTAAAGATATTTACCAAAATGTAAAAAAAAATAAAAATCCCAATAGATAAACAAATTTTTTACCAGTGATTTTGAATCAAAGTGATAAAGAGTATCAAAAGTGTTTGTTCGGTGGTGGTAGCTGTGATTGTGAAGAGGCGTATCAGATTCTTCTTGTTGCTTCAGAACGATGAAAAGTTAGAGAGACAACAAGTTTTCAGATTTTATTTACGCTTTTCCCTATTTGGGCAATATATTCTCCAATTAATTTTGAGATTTTTGCTTTTCAAAACTTTTACATACTATTTTTGTTTTGATATTCTACAAAACCAAAAAAAAATAGAGCAATGAATTGCAAATATTTTTCTTTTATTATAGCCATATATTGTAGCAAAGGCATTTTCACTGAATTATGTAACTCTCTCATATATATATATATATATGAAATAGTATCCATGTTGTTTAAAGGAAATAGATTTCAATAATTTATTTTTGATCATGTTTACAGTTTTTCTCACCTTCCATTTTTTATATTTATAGTAATAGTAATACTCCCAATGAAATTAATAGTAATATTAGAAAAAAGAGAAGTTTTGATAACACGTAAGAGATCAACATGCATGCACTAATTGCTTTATTTGTAACAATATATTGTAGTTTAAATTATATATATATATATATATTGTAGTTCTTTTTGTAACTCCTATAACAAAGAAAAGAACTACATTATTTTCCGAAATTCATATACAAGTTTATTTTTCCTCTGTAAATCGTACCTCCTATATTAGTCTTTTTAGTCAATGAACCTAACAGGAAAAGACGATATGCACTCAACAGGTTTCTGAACTAGATGATTCTATCAAACGGTCTATGGAGAGAATTAAGGAGACGCGACCAAAAAAAATGTTAAAAGATCGGAGTTGGTTACCATAACGAGGCCCATTAACTGACCCAAATTTTATGTCTAATAGGCCCATCATTCAAATTAGTTTAATACCGACAACAATTGAATTCGGTTCGACTAAACCAAGTTAATTGAGATCCTCTCCATACACATCGAACCAGATTTAATTCAGGTAACCAAAAGCTAACCTTAAACTCAGATGTAAACCAAACGATTACCTAAATTAAAGAGCACATTGAGGCAAGATGTGCTTCAAATTCTACATAAGTTGGGAGAGAACAAAATAAAGAAAACAGACAGATTCAGCTACAGGACCGTTTCTTGTGACAAGTATTTGACACAAATTAAGATTGAAACTTACGAAACTGATACAACTCTAGGACAAGGACCGTTAACTTTACGTATCACTTTCTTACATTTAACTAGATTGGAACACTGCTCTGTCTCTCTCTAACCATAAGCATTATTTATTTGCTTGCTAAAAACCACTCAGATTAGGCGAGGTTAGCTTGTTGTGCCTTCAGTTTGCTCGCTGGGAAGTGCAATCTTGCAATCAAAGGCTTTGGTCCTCTTGTGGTTCGATCAAATCCACGTACACATACGTACCCTACAGATTTTAAAAGATAAGTTATACATTTCAGGAGAAGAACAACTTGCTATATAGCTAATATAATAATATGCACCTCTCCAGAAACACTGCTGGATCGTGTCGGTAGGTAAGCCTGGAAAACAAATAGCTCGAGTGGTTAGGACAACATCCTTTTATTAACAATCCCATCACAATCCAATAATGACAATCTTATAACCTTTGAATATTGAAGGTATAGAAGTTCCAAAGTAGACCGTTCTTTTAGGCAAATACCATATCCAATCTCTTGGGACATCGATTGGATTTAGGCTGGAAGCATGATCAGCAAAAACCTAAAGAATAGGATTTATCAGAAGTTTCAATACAAATAATTAAATGAACAAGTCTCCTAGATTATATTTGAGTTCAAGTCTGACCTCATTCACTTGGAAGTAAGTTCCATTGAGAGGGAAACTACCTCTCATTGCGGTTCTACATGGAATCTACAAGAATTTACAGCATATAATGTTGTAGAAACATAGGTGTAAATCGTTACTAGTAGCAAAGGAGTTTGACGCAATTACTTACCAAGATTGTTCCTCTCACAGTCTGAGATCTTGCCTCCTTGATGCTGTTGCAGGAGAAACAAGTCTCCTCATCACAGAGCTTACCATTTTCTTGGAATATACACTTACTTACAGCCGGTTGAACAGAATCAGCCGTCTCACCTGTTGAAGATCATAGCGGTTAAAGAAACTTTCTCTATCTGATTTCATGACTAAAAGATATGCATCTCACTAAATCACCTGGGGTCCAAATAGCAAGCAGATAAAAACATGGATCATCAGGTTCCCTCTTCTCCAACTGTCACAACAAACACGAACAACTAGTCAGATTTTACAATACTGACAGCACTAAACTGCATGTGTCCTTATTCAGTCATTTCATATACCTGAGCTATAAGAGGATGGTCATCTGGAAGTTCATAACTGCAAGATATGGGAAAAACAGAATCAAGTTATAAAAAAGTCAAACTGTACCAAATTGTTGTTACCTTAGCATTGCAATTCTTTATGGCATAGCCTGTAGGTATTGGGAAGTTTTTCTGCTTTCCAATGAACCAGTAAAAGTTTCGTCTATCACATAATGATTCTACTCTATTCAAGCTTCAATATTTTGAAAAATGTGTTTGTTTTTCATATTTACCTAAAAACGACGAAAAACAGAGAAAAACGGAAACTTACACTTGGTGTTCTGTCCTTAACTGGCTGATATTCTTGAGCTTAGGCATTGGAAGAGAAGCAGTTTCAGCAGTAAGTGCAACTAAAGCGCTGGACATGTTTCCCTCGTGCAGTTCCTTGTTATGCTCCATTATTTTCTTCAAATTACTGGTAAACGCATCCATGTTTAGCCTTATTGTAGGAATTTCTTCCGGATCCTCAAAAAACGCATCCTCTATGTCAGCTATTGAAACTTGGGCGCTTTCTGGCTCCGGTGATGCTGGCTCTTCAATTATTGGTTCACAACATGTAAACTTTTTTGCTTGTTCTGCGTGCTTTACTACTTCTGACCCTTGATCTTTCTGCAGTGGCTCTGGCAGGTGCAGAGGCAAAGGTTTTTTATCAGGTGTCCCCATACCTTTCTCTGTACCAGGTAAAGCAAGCCTTGCGCTGGAAAACAAATGAAGGTTACGAAAAAGTTTCTGTACCAATTCAGAGCTAGTTTTAGATACAGATCACTTCTCATTTACTGGAGTAATACATTTGTTGAATGATGGATTTCGTCATAATGGTACTAAAGGAATAAAAGTACATATTTTAGTACCTTGCAAACGCACTAGCAAAATGTCTGCATTCTCCTCTCATCGGACATGCATTGCAATTAGGTTTGCTCTTTGTGCAAAACACCTGAAACAATAATAAACTATATTACAAACCTCATCATGTGAGCTGATTTTTACATATGTATATGTGTATTTCCTTGATGCATACCTTTCCAAAAGTAATCATCTGGTAGTGCAACTCGTACCTGTGAGATAATAGGGGATTAAACTAATGAACGAGTATGTTTGAGAATGAGGCATGAAAAAAATAAGTTAGTGGTATACATGATCAGAGTTCTTACAATGTTTTTTGATCGAGTTTGCAGAGACGTGGCCATAGATACTTTTGAATAGACTCAAGAATAGGATACCTGGATAAACCAAATCCCAGCTGTGTAAGTAACAAATTATAATTTCCAAGTACGACCTTTTTGTAGAGTGCTTACATTTCTAGAAGATGCAACTGAAGTGACTCTGGGAGCGGTTGAAGGGGCACCCATCCAAGTCTAACGGCTATACGCCCAACATTTGTATCAACCTGTCAATAACTTAAGTTCATACATCATATAATTCATTTTTTACAGGGACAATAACGAAAAATTGATACTGGCTTACCGGAAAGGCAAGATGGTGCAGTGTTAGAAGCCGCACACACTCCACACTTTTTAGGCCCAATCCATTAAAGCTCAGAAGATATTCTCTGCATGATTGTATAATATATAAGAATACAAAATGCAGTATTGAATCAGAAAAACAGCCTAAGTAGTAATTTTTCTATATTGTGATTAATAAAGAAAAAAATGATATACTCCGTCTTTCAAACTCACTTTGCTTTATCGGGTGGAACATCTCTCAACCATTCAAGATCGATACTTCCATGGTCATCGACCAGTCGATCAAGGAAGCCCTGCATTATTTTTCATGTTCAGATCATGATCGATACTTCTATGGTCTAATATTTATCAACCAATGTTACCACATATAAAGATAAAATTGTACCTGTATACGTTCTGCAAGTTTATGGTTCATGCCGCGACTCTTGATAGTTTCAGCAACTTCACTAACATCCACTGTTCGTATTGCCTCCCAGTCCACAGTGTCCATTGTCCTTGTTGATTTTTCTCTTATCCCTACTCTACCTTGTGCTTCTCTTCTTAAACTATCCCAATCAAATGCCTCTTTTTTTGCCTTTAATTTTTTTTTTCCTTTTGCCTTTGAAGTAGCACCATCTGTTGGACTAACCTCTTTACACGATGAGTCGAGATGTTGCCTTGAGTCAGGACCTGGTGGTTTTTCTGTACCTTCTTGGACATCAAGACAACTCGTGCTTTCATTAATATCTGGAATCAAAGTTTCTGTTACGAGCTTTTCTTTGTGTTTTGTAGAACAAACACTGCTCGAGCTTTCAGGCATCACTGGTTTCTGACTACTCAAAACATCCCCATCTTGCCGATAGCAGCAACATAGTTCATTACTATCAGAAGATTTTGTGGGCCCTTTCAGTGATTGTAAATCCTTAACTTCTGAGCTACAATCACTGGGAGATATATTTGGTGATACTTGTAAGCTTCCAGGATTGCTTGAAACCCCAACCTCTTGCCTTGAAGTGTCATACTGATTCTTCTGATTGGACTCTTCTTGTAAGACTTGTACCCCGTGGAGGAGCTTCATGTATGAAGTACGATACTCTTCTTCTAAGTTGACCTCTGAACTTAATCTTGCTCTCTCTGTATTTTGTGGAGCTTCAGAAACCATCGAATGTTGACATGTCAAAACAGAATCTTCAGATGGAAACAGGTTGAGGACAAAACATTCCTGATATTTCTTATCAACCTCTACACTTAAGCCTTGTCTATCTGATTCCACATACGTCTTTACTTCCGTGGTTTTGCCAACTGATTCATGGGCTGAGCTGGAAGTTTCAGTACTGTTTCTGGAGGTTTCATTGCTATTTACATAATCCTTCTCCTCATCAGGCTGTGTGTTTTTTAAAATAACAGAACTTTGATTGTTATCGGATGGGTTGGACATCGATTCCTCGGAGTCCAAGTACGTTATTTGAATAGAAGGCGCCGAGCTTGTTCCAGCTTCAAAGTTAGTGGTGGGTACTGAAGGGACCGGAAACTCTGCAGCAAGTGACATGAAAGCAGAACTACAAGGAAAATATAAAATTAGACAAAGAAGTTAGTTTTGTGACTTGTCGTTGCCTTGGATTTAATTTCAAAGATAGAACTATGGAAGAGGTTATACCTTGAAAGATGGTCTGAAACGTTTTGCGTCAGAAACACTCCAACAACAGAATCAACAACGGATCCCTTCCAAGGCGTAAACCGTCGATCCCCTGTTAGAAAACCGAAAACCATAACAAGAAATTAACTGAGCCATACAAGTTAGATCAAATACTAATTGAAAGTTGAAACCATGTGGCTAGAACAAAAAGGCGCATAAGGACAAGTGTGGTGTATAACCTTGTACAAGATGCATCCTTGCTATGAATGAGTCTGCTCGTCCACGAAACACATTACGTTCTTCCTCCCACCATTTTGCCTTCTGCTCATCTGATCCGTCAATTCCCTCACTATTAATATTCTCCAATAGCAGTTTCCACACTCTGTCTGTCTCATCGTCTAAGTCAACCTTAGGTCGTGGACGACGTTTTTTAACAGGAGTTACAGGCACAATTGCTCCAGCACCACCGCGGAAGAGTACAATCTGGTTTCCCTTGGTTTTCATGGGGTAAGGAACGAGAGCATTATCAGAATTCTCCCTATTGATATCTAATAGACGCAATTGCTCATTGATTGCTTCGACAGAGTAACGTTGTTTCCAAAGTTCATCTGGAGAAAGACCTGCAGGAATCAAATATCATCATTATCTACACGTATTCTGCATTTAACGGATTCAAGAAAACAAAGAAATGTAGTTATATAGTGTATTCATTACCAGAAAATGAAGCTGAAAGCTGGCAAAGATTCGGAAGAAGAGTTTTCTGGTTGGTTTGTGATTTCTTAGGCTTAGTGATTCGCTTATTTTTGCTTACGGTCACCCGTGTATCAACAAGAATCTTCTGATGTGGTTTGCAATGATATCCTGAGGGTAACTGCTCAGAAACTTCCATAAGTTTGTTCATGGAAGACAAATTCCGGAATCGAGCATGGCCAGTTCTCTTCTTTATCGGTGTATCTATCTTCTCTGGGAGAACATTGAACTCAGACGGTTGCCTTCCTTGGAAGGTAACTTCACGTATTTTTTCAGTGGTTAGGACTCCATTAGCACTGTGTTGAGATGTGAAACTGTAGCAGTTAGAGTCAAAGGCAGAAACATCCATAAGTTGTTGGCCAGTGAATGATTTGCTACAAATGACATCAGATCTCATCCCTTCCTGTTGTAAGTTTGGGAAATACAACCAATGCATTTTCTGGTAGTCACATAGCTCATTGTACTGAATCCCTGATAGATTCAGGTCACGGCAAGTTGGTTCTTTTACTTGTCTTCTCTTTGCAGCTTGTGCCATCGAAATATCAACTTCTTCTAGGTCAGTGCCATTGTTCTTAGGTTCCTTCCCCTTTCTTTTACCTTGGCTACGCTTTCTCTTGGGAGTGGTAGGCACAGAAAGAAGGAAATCATTTGACTCATGATTCCCAGAAGCTAACAGCTTCTCTACAAGAACTGATTCCATCTCATCTGCTTGTTTTGTGTTACAGTTGGAATGATTTTCTCCTTTTTCGGGTTCAAAATCCAAGGCTCGTCTACAGAGCTTCTTGGCGCGAGTTGAAGTTTCTACAGCTACTGATGGATCAAGCGGAGTAGATTCTTGATTCTTATCTACTTGTACCTTCTTCCGCACATATTTCCTCCTCGGTGTTTTGCTTTCTTGAGCATCAGCAACAACAGATTTCCTCGGAGTTGGCGGTTTTGGCGCCCTCTTGGGTTTAGCATCTTTAAGAACCTTTGGCCTATGCTTCTTCCTCTTTGGTTTTTCAGGAGTCTTGATGATCTCTTCAGCAACATTATTGATGATTTCTTCAGCAACATTGTTACTCACAGAGCTCAGACTCTCCACTGCTTCATTATCTTTTTGCATCATCTCTGTGTTACCTACATTAAGAAATCAGATATTTCTCATTTCTCAGCCCAACAACTTAGATAGAGTTAAAATTTGACCAAGAAATGAATCAGAAATCCCTACCGGAGAAACAGAATGCTGCAGAGTTAGCTAGAGCCAGCAAATCCCCAAAAGATAAGTGAGCAAGACCACCACCCACGCCCTTGTTCCCATCAAATCTCCTGCATGCATCACTTCCATAAGCGATTATCCAAAACGATTCCTTAAAAAAATTCAACTTTAAGACAAAAAGCTGCTACCTTTCTTCCTCCTGGTTCCGATGAGCTCGTTCCTCAACAATATTTGAGCAGATCGGAGAACTTGCCTTCATTGGTGTCTGAGGCATCCATGGAGGTTGTTGAATGCTGCTTTCTTCTCTCCCTTGTCTCTCCATGTCTTAACAACTCTTTGTTCACTCTTCCTTCATTTGATTTTGCGCCGGAATTTGAGAAAAAAAGCCACTAACTTTCTATTTTTCCACTGCAAAAAAAGTTCAATAACTCCTCAACAGAAATGTGAAGAGATCAACAAAATTTTAAAAAAACTTCGAGACTACAAGACGATTAGATCCTTTATTTTCTGAGGTTTGAGAGAGATCTCCGGAAGTAATTTGATTTCGGCGAGTAGCGACATGAACGATTTAGGTGGAAGATAAGACTTTTTTTTTGAATCGCAAGCAAACAAAATGATAGAAAAAAAAAGTAAAAAAAGAGACAAAATGTAAAATTCATAGAAAGGAACTGTACCAGTAGAATCAATGGAAGTGATAAGAGAGGGTTTTGTTTAGCTTGGTGGTATATGATATGAGAGGATAAGATCACCGAACGGATCCTTCGTTCTTCTCTTGGAAACGATGAAGTTAAAAGAGCTCTAGACAAGTAAGTAATATAGAAAAAAAAGAAGGAAATGCTTTTTTGGCGTATAAAACATGTGTGTTGTTGTTGTTGTTGTGATGACCTCTATTCTCTTTCATAGCCGTTCGCTTTGCAGCGCGAAAATTCGTTTGGTTGGCGGGAAAAGTTTAAACCGACTTTTATTTTAAAAATAATAATTCTTTTATTGAGTCTCCTTAGCCATGGGAAAGATGATTTGAAAAGCTAATAATAGTATCATCATCCTTTTCTCTGTCATTTCTTCTTCTTCTTCGTTTCGTTATTTTCGTCTATCGATAAATTATATAATTTAAAATTTATAAATACTACTAATTTTACATTTTATAAGAATTGGATATCTATAATTTTAGTTTTCTTTTTCAAAATAAATAATTTAATATTTGATTCTGGATTTATTATCGAATTTTTTATTTAAAAATATTTTCAAAAAACTTTAGGTTATAAACCTGTATATTTATTATGTTGATCACTAATACGCTAATTTATCAATTTTTATCTTATTATACAAATCATACATTTTCATTTTAATTAACAAAAGGTAGTGTATATGATTTAGTTTGGAATTATAATATCGGAATAGGTTGTAGGGTGATTATGCTATTTGTACAAGAACCCTTTTGCTCTCTTTTTTCTCTAAATCTCTCCAATGCATCCATAGTTGATTAGTGTTATGTAGATATTCTATTTAGTGTTGTTAAATTTTGAATGGTAATAACATTTCAACATCATCAAAAGACTGAATCATACGTGCATGAGAAATGATTACCTTAACTCATTTATCTCATAAAATTGTTGATTTTTTTAATAAGAATGTAAATATTTCATTAAAATAAAATTCGTTAAAAACTAAATTATATTCGAAACTCATCGAGTCATCGTTGGTTGGATTGGTTATAACTTGTACGTGAAACCATTGGATTGGTTATAATTTATACGTAAAATCATTGGTGGGCATGACATTACCTAATGATTGTGTATATATTGGATCAGTTTAAGATGATTAGGGTTCTGAACAAACACGTTATTAAATATCTATGCAACCATTTTTAAGCATTGTTGTTGAAAATAACATCAACTTCGTTTCTTTTGCAGACATATAATGGATATAAACTAGAAACATATATTTTCAATGTTTTAAAATTATTATTATTTGGGACAAGAAAAACAGAATTCATAAAGCTGAACGAAGATTAATTGAAATAAAGAAGCAGCCTACTGAAGCGTACAACATCCAAAATCAAAGCTCACTCAAACGACATGGTAAAGTACGATATACATGAGTTTATGGAGCGTACCATTCACGTTGTTTTTATACATTCATTGATTCTTTTTTTTTTAGTTATTTTTTATTTGAACGTTGTTTTTTTTTCTTTTTTCGAAATATTTTTGAAAGAACAATTTTCATGATTTTTTTTTTTTTTGTCGACACAATTTTCATGATCCATTCTCAAAAATAGCATATGTTTTAAAAAAGTTCATAAAATACTTCCAACCAAAATTTGCTCCCATTAACAAAAAGCTTTCGCAACGATTCATTGTCATATTTACCTCAAAACGAATATTCAACTTTTGAAAGATGAAGTTTGTTTGTCTTCCAAAGATCAAACCACACTCATTCACAAATTTACAACAATTTACTCTAATGTTCTCCAATGAACATTTACATTCTCAACTATTTTCTAAAAATAATATTTCAAATGGATTTATATTTAAAAAATATTTCAGACGAATTTCCGACGACGGGTTTGCTCGTAACTCAGTTTTTCCCATAAGGTCCACCTCCTGTTCAACCGGTGAATGAACTGTCGGTGGCAGAATAATCCCGTCCCGTTTCACGCACTGTATGAGACGTGTCATTAGCTCTCTCTCACACCACCAACGTCATGCTCTTCTACTAGGTTTACTTTTTTTTTTGTATCAGATTCATTTAACTCTGTCTTATTCATTCATTCACCATGCAAATTGTTTACATTAAATTTTTGAGGATTCAGCAAAGCACTTTATTCTCTATAGCTACTAGCTAGTTATTATAATATCAGTGTATCCATAGGATAGTATTCATATAATCGTATAAATTAATGGTGAAACTCAAATCAAAGAGACAAAAAAGACCATTTAGTGGATTTCATGCAAATTGAGATAGTGCCAAGTGGAAAGCCAAATGCCATCTTTCGCATCTTCCTTTGCCTTCAAACCCACTAAGTCACATAGATCACAAGACTACAATTAATAACTAATTAAGTAACGTATGCTCTTTTCCCCATGTCAATGTTGATCTATCTTTTCTTCGGATCATTTGTTTATGTATAACTTTCAGAGTCTTATCTTAATAGAACATTCATTCATTCTACTATTCTAGAATGTTTATAAGTTTATTCTTTTGATGAACGTATACGAACTCCAACGATAAAGGTCTATTTTTAAGACTTGCTTCTCTAGCTTATAGTATTAAGTAACCAAAACAATATTCACTCATTAACCAATAAATAAAATTTAACCAAAGTTAATTATCTACTAATGACAGAAATTTCTTGGGAACCCCTCATTTATTAAGAATCTAATATTGATAAATAAAAATTTAACCAAAATTAATTATCTATTAATTATTGAACTATTCATCTTCTTTTTTTTTTAATTTTGGGGGGTGAGTGGTAGAAAACCACCAGACACGTTGTTAAGGATGATGAGATAACGAACAAACAAACAAAATAGAAAAAAAACAGATAACAAAGGGAAGACAAAAAAGAGTCTTATTTCTGGAATCAAATTTTTATGAGCTTTCTTAAGATCAAACATATAAATTTGTGATTTTGATGATTGGGTTTTGTTCGTAGAAGACGATACATAATATCAAAAGATCAAATCATTTCGAAACTAATTCCCAATTTGATTTGGAAAGAACACCAACCTTTACATTAAACACCAACATAAAGATTCAAACTTTTCGACTCTTCAACGCCATTTTCCTTAATCACCGGTTAGTATCTTCTTACGATTATCTTTTATCTGGATTTTGTATTGCTCCATTGCAATAGCGTTTTCACAGGTTTGATTAATGCATGTCCTTTTATGTTCATGAGAATTTGTTTGATCTGGTTCATTTTGTCTGAATGTCCTAAATCTGGAAATGAATTTGTCTAATCTGCCTCATTGTTTGGTAATCTCCTCCTTATGGTTTTGATTATCGTTAATACGTTCTTTTTTCTTTAATGTGAAGAGATTATGAATCAAACTATTGTTTCGTCTTCTCTTTGTCTATGAAGTGATTTGTAAATTTTGATTTTTGTATGGTTATGTAGCTTGATGGGTGTCTATTGAAGGCTTATTCAATATGACGACTACTCCAACTTCATCTGGGAGGAGAAGCATTTCAAGTATTAGGCGAACATCATCAGCTTCTAAGAAACCTGTTCTTCAATCAGAGGAGAGTGAAAGCGGAAACGGAAGCGTGAATGAGAACACCTCCAAACCCGATTCGCCTCTTGCTCAGCCGGTTTCTGATGGCGAGAGAACTGTCAAGAAGCTACGGTTATCTAAAGCTCTCACTATTAATGAGGGCACCACTGTCTTTGATGCTTGTAGAAGGATGGCTGCTAGGCGTGTTGATGCGGTTTTGTTGACTGATTCAAGTGCTCTTCTTTCCGGTATTGTTACCGACAAGGATATTGCCACAAGGGTGATTGCAGAAGGGTTGAGACCAGAGCACACTCTGGTGTCTAAAGTCATGACTAGGAATCCCATTTTTGTCACATCTGATTCACTTGCTATCGAGGCTCTTCAGAAGATGGTTCAGGGGAAATTCAGGCATTTGCCTGTTGTAGAGAATGGTGAAGTCATTGCTCTGTTGGATATCACAAAGTGCCTCTATGATGCTATCTCTCGGATGGAAAAAGCTGCAGAGCAAGGAAGTGCTTTAGCCACTGCAGTCGAAGAACGGCATTGGGGAAGTGGAAATTTCGCTTTCATCGACACGTTGAGGGAGCGGATGTTCAAGCCTGCATTGTCAACAATAATCACTGAGAATTCCAAAGTTGCACTTGTGTCTGCATCAGATCCTGTGTTTGTAGCTTCCAAAAGGATGCGGGATTTGCGGGTTAATTCTGTGATCATCGCTGTTGGGAACAAGGTTCAGGGGATTCTAACTTCAAAGGACATTCTAATGAGAGTTGTGGCACAGAATCTATCTCCTGAGCTGACTCTTGTTGAAAAGGTTATGACACCAAATCCTGAATGTGCATCAATGGAGACAACAATCCTAGACGCATTGCATATAATGCACGACGGGAAGTTTTTGCATCTTCCGGTTGTAGATAAAGACGGATTTGCCGTAGCTTGTTTAGACGTGCTACAGATATCACACGGCGCAATTTCAACAGTTGAGAACAACAGCTCAGGAGCTGTAAATGATATGACGAATACGATGATGCAAAAGTTCTGGGACTCAGCTCTGGCGTTAGATCCACCCGAGGATTATGAGACACACAGCGATATGTCGGCAATGCTGATAAATTCAGACGGGAAGCAGTCCTGTCCATCACAAGGACTTGTGAACTCGTTTGCTTTCAAATTCGAAGATCGTAAAGGGAGAGTACATCGGTTTAACTCAGCCGGTGAGAGTCTTGAAGAGCTGATGGGTGTTGTGATGCAAAGATGCGATGCGGATTCAGGCCTTCAGATTATGTACCAAGATGATGAAGGTGATAAAGTTTTGATTAGTAGGGACAGTGATCTTGTTGCTGCTGTTACTTTTGTTAGGTCTTTGGGGCAAAACGTTTTGCGACTGCATCTCGATTTTACCGAGGCAATGGCTCTTGAGACGACGATTGTGGATTTGTCCGAGGGAAATGGCGGTTTTGTTTGGTGGCGAACCGGCGTCGTTGCTGGGGCTATTGTCCTAACGAGCATAGGTTTACTGGTTTACTTGAAACGTTCCAAGAAATGATATGTTTTTGAATGAAAACTTAAATGTGTTACACTGTTACCTCTATATTTTTTCCGATTCACATTGCAAAGCAATAATAA